ACGCATGCTCAGTTGCTTTGCCGTTTATTGTGGTTGTTGTTGTGTGTTTTTGATTTCTGACTGGATTAGTTTGTACCTGTTGGTTGCCCTTGGGGCATGGGAAGTTTGGTGGAGTTTCGTTGGGGGGTTTTAGAGTTTTGTTTCCTCATACGACGCCAGGAGGAAATTTATATATATAGATTTCTATGGAGTAGGTATGAGCTCTATCTACACTGCCATGTAATGCAATTCAATGCAGTTACACTGGATAATATAGCAGATGGGGCCTAAGACAGGTGATAGTGGATCTGAATCCAGGACCTGCGAGTTCAATGTTTCAGTGAGAAGATCATGAGGATTAATCATACATCTCAATTGTTTTCCCACAATACTTACTGCCCTGCAACTGCTCCTGTATCCATTCGGCATTTGACTTGGCATTTGCTTCCAGACACTGAGCAAATCCTGAAAGGGCTTTGCTGCGAACGGTTGGCGCTTTGTCGGAGCACCGACCAAAGATCATTACTTGCACCAGGAATTTGTGCTTCATGAACTTCTGCTGTTCCTCGGTCAAAGTGACGTCTGGCTCACGCTCTGGAAGATCCAATAGGGCCAAGGCAGCATCGATAGCAAATACCCTGTAGGAGATCTGATGGAGATGGATGCAATACTGTCAGATCACTTAGAATGGGGTTTTTGTCTTGTGTCAGGAGCGACTTGAGAAACTTCCAAGTTGTTTCCGGTGTGAGAGAATTGGCTGTCTGCAAGGACACTGCCCAGGGGAAGCCCGGATATTTTACCATTTTGTGTGAGGCTTCTCTTATGTCCCCGCATGGGAAGCTGGAGCTGACAGATGGGAGCTCACCCTGCTCCTCGGATCTGAACCAACCTTTTGGTCAGCAGTCCTGCCAGCACAAGGACTGTTTAATCCATTGCGCCACTGGGGTGGCCAACATCATGGAGTCAAGAGCCAATTCCCAGCCTTTACCTCCCCCTGTGGGCTGCACACCTCTTGACATAAATCCAAATACCTCAGTTTTCTTCTGAAGTCTATCCCAAAATGGGGAGATGATGTAAACATCACTTCCTTCTGCCATTTTGAGAAGGAATGCAAAAGAAAATGGAGGTATCTGGAGTAGTAGTGTTCTGAGACGCTTCTGGAGGTTTAGGGCATTTTGCATATTTTCACGAATTTGGAAAAATTTTCTGCTAGTTTGAGAAGAGGTGGGGGATCCCCAGTGGCGCAATGGGTTAAACCCTGTGCCGGCAGGACTGAAGACCAACAGGTCAAAGATTCAAAACCGGGGAAAGCGCTGGTGAGCTTCCTCTGTCAGCCTCAGCTCCCCATGTGGGGACATGAAAGAAGCCTCCCACAAGGATGGTAAAACATCAAAACATCCAGGCGTCCCCTGGACAATGTCCTTGCAGATGGCCAATTCTCTCACACCAGAAGCCACTTGCAGTTTCTCAAGTCCCTCCTGATACAAAAAAGTGGGGGTGGAATAAGCACTGAAGAATCATGCCAATTTTTAGAAATGTGGAAGTATTGAAGGTCTGGTACAAGGCTTCAAGGGTCAGAAAACTGGGGCCAAGGAAGTACCGTATATACTCGAGTATAAGCCAACCCGAATATAAGCCGAGGGTGGGAAATGCTGCTGCTACGGGTAAATTGCAAAATAAAAATAGATACCAATAAAATTACATTAATTGAGGAATCAGTAGGTTATATATTTTTGAATATTTACAAAAATGGTAATTTAAGATAAGACTGTCCAATTCTGATTAAATGATTATTTACCTTCTTCAATGTAAATGTGCTTACGTATCCTTCCAATAAGAATAAAGAGAGCAATATAACAAATATAATAACAATAATAATAATAAAAATAGTAAAATAATGAATGTAGCAATAACAACAATTATACAGTAAAATAATAAATGTATAATAATAGAGTAAATGTAATAATAAATAAATAGAATAAAATAATAAATGAAATGAATATAATAATAATAATAATAATAATAATAATAACAGAGTAAAATAATAAATAACCTTGACTCGAGTATAAATCGAGGGGGACTTTTTCATCCTAAAAAAGGGCTGAAAAACTAGGCTTATACCCGAGTATATACAGTATATAGAAACACTGGCCAAAAAGGAGGGGGGGGGGGGGGAAGAAGACATTTTTTCATTTATTGCCGGCCTCTCCTTTCGGCTCAAGGCAAGGCACAACATAGTCAAATACATCTATAAAGTCACATACTAAAACATACTTAAAATGCAAGTATAAAAGCATACATTAAAACATACAAATATTATAATATCCGAGACAGCATTTGAAATGAACTAGAGAGGCCTGCCGGAACAGAGAGGTTTTCAGTTGTGTTTTACATTCTGACTGTTCATTTAGTTGTCAGATCTTGTCCAGCAGGTCATTCCACAATAAGCCAGATATGATTGGAGGCTTGCTGAAGACCCATTTGCCACTCAGAATGGCACTGGAATGACCAGAAGATGGTTGACAGTCCAAATGGCTAGCAAGTACCAGCTCTCACCTTGTTGTTGAGTGAGAATCTATACAGCCAAGCTATGAAGTCGACATGGTTTGCACAAGGAAGTCTGTACAGGAGTTGTGTCAAAGCCTGGGCTGCATGCGTTCGGTATTCTGACTTATCAGGAACCTGGAAGGAAAAAAATGGCCAAAAGAAAGTGAAATTGGATGATTTGTCAGAATGTTCTTGAAAGCTGGAACAAGGCAGAGGTTGTCCATTGACTGGATCCAGTTGATAACTCAGGAGACAGCCAATTCAAACTCAGGTTCACTAAATACAGGAAAGTGAAGACAATAGGCTGAAGATGATTTCTTGAGAGATAGCACAGAGCTCCACTGCATCATAACAGCATGAAAAAACATTGCCTCATCCAGCCAATGACAGAGTTCTGACAGAAACATGTCCCATAAAATTCTATGTCTATTCATATATTATTGAAAGCCAATGAAACTTGGCTGAAGTTGGAAGCCATCAATTGGCAAAACATAGTCCAAGGCCTGGCCAAGGAAAATTCCCAGCAGGTTAGGAAACCCAAACACCTCCACTTTACACAGTTATCTGTATGAAAACAAGCTTACTCTTAAAGGAAAAAAGCTCTTTTGTCACTTCCAGAGTACAGTGATTGAAGCTTACCTTGACACAAATGTGCTGCAGTAAGATTCGCAAGACAGGGAAGGCAGCTTCTTTCAGTTCCTCAACGAGAGAGCTGCACAGACCAAGAGGACCAGAAATTATTTGGCAAGAAGCCCTATAAACTTATCAGGACACAGTAGATTTTCTATCTGAGAACAAAGCTGTCGCATATGGACTACTGAGCTAGCTGGCTCTTATTGTTTACATTGGCAGCCATAATATGGGGTCTTTTCCAATACCTATCTATAACAAAAGATGCGAGGCTGGAGACTTATTAATATTATGTCCGGGCAGGATGGATCTTCCCAGAGGTTTTCCTTTCCTTAAAAAAAGAAAAATCCCACCCCTGTGCCTCCAATATGATAGCGAGGCGATGATGGATATGTGTTATGGTGAATACTGCTCGTCTTTAAACTTTCTTTTGCATTAAAGCTGCCACCAACCTAAGGTGTTTTAGGATTTTCAAAAAATATATATTTGAGGTGAACTTTTCCCACTCCTGCCAACACTGCTCTTATCCCTGGCTCCCAAACAACTGTTTGTTGAGAGGCTTTTCTGTAGCAACAGGGTGTTAAAATTGCTGGAACTATAACAAAAGCTTGACGATGGAATGATGTACAGTAGAGACTTTGTTGAAAGTTAAATAGAATAGGATTTATTTTTAAATTATTTATTTATTTACTTACTTTACTTCTATACCGCTGTTCTCAGCCCGGAGGCGACTCACGGCGGTTCACAAGACACAGGACACAGCAAAATTCAACACCAATATAAAACAGTTAATAACCTAATCTAATACACAATTAATACACAATTACTATAATAACCATTCACTAAGGTCTCATCACTAAAACATGATCCAGATTCGTCATCCATTGTTCCATTCCTATATCATTACCAGTCATTGCACAATTATTCGAACGCCTGCTGAAATAACCAGGTCTTTACTTTCTTGCGGAACACCATTAGAGATGGTGCTAACCTAATATCTGTGGGAAGGGTGTTCCACAGCCAGGGAGCCACCACTGAGAAGGCCCTATCTCCTGAGAGATACAAAAAGCGTGACTTGTTACAAAAGTACTTCAGCTTGATTGGTTACTTGAACAGTTCTCTTCACTTTGTTCTAGACCCATGATGACGAACCTATGACACGTATGTCAGCACTGACACGCGTAGCCATTTTCGATGACACACAGCCGCATGCGGCTGCATACAGAGAAGATGGGGCCGCATCCAAGAAGGACATTTCATCCTCGGCTCCTACACCAGCATTTTTCTATAATGGCGATATATATGGTATTGATTGGTTATGATTCTATGTTGTGACGATGCGGATTAGTTCAGTGTAATTTAGATCAGTGTGTATTATTGTTACGTTGATTTTTTTTTTTTGTGCTTTATTGTAAACTGTTTTTATATGTTGTACACCGCCGCGAGTCGCCCTAGGGCTGAGAGTGGCGGTCAACAAATGCAGCAAATAAATAAATAAATAAATAAATATTATAGAAAAAGCAGGTAAGTTAAATAATTAGTTTTTGGTTTATTTAATACAGTTATATATCACAATAATATATTTTTGTTATTAAACTATAAATATCATGACATTATGGGGGTTTTCTCAAAGTGACACCGCACTCGAGTTATGCTCGGTTTTTTGGCGAGTATTGACACACCAAGCTCAAAAGGTTGCCCATCCTTGTTCTAGACAGAGCTAACCAAACAGAACTAATTATTGGTAACAAAACCCTCGCTCTATTTCAGAGAATAGTGATGAGTCTGACTAGCCTATGTAGGTAGGTTATTAACTGGGTTAATAACTAACTCTACCCTAGAGTTCTTCCTGTTAACCAACCCAGCCTGGAGAGCCAATCTCTTGTGCTAACTCTCACTGCTGTCTGACCTTTTTCCTGTCAGCTCACAGCACTGTCTAACACAGACACTCTCTCGCCTAGCTCTCTCTCCAAAAAAACAACAACCCAGTTTTAAAACCCCCTGAAGCTACATTCTTTCCCTCCTCCGACTTGACTCCTCCCAACTGCTCTGACCAATCCTAGGAATCTCTCAACTCCTCCCCTCTTCCAACCATCCTCACTCAAGATGGCTGCCTCCCTGACATTCCCTCCCAAAATGGAGGCCTGCCTTACTGTTATCCAGGCTCCCTTTCCAGCCTACCAGATAAGATTCACCACACGATCACACTGAAAAGTGGGAGGATTTATTAAACTCCAAAAGACTGGTGATGGAGAAGCAGATAAATCACATTCACCCCACCGGCCATTTATAAGAGTTGTTGACTATTTTTAAAACGTTGAACGGTAATGGAGGTTTGACACAACGCTGAAAATATGCAGAAGCATAAAGCAAAACAAAATAAAATAACAAACACTTGAGCTTCACCTGATGAATTGGATGGCCTGGTTCCTTGCGCTAACAGCCTGAGATGGGAGAATGGCTGATGCGCCACCGGATGGTTCTGTTCCTGTCAACATGAGGATGATGTTGAGAAATCGATGGAAAACATGGCGCAGGATCTAGAACGGAATGAGTGAAAACTCCTTACTTTGGTTCAATTCAAAACTGAGGTTTTGCTGCCACTGTCAAAAGAATGGGGGACGCATGGCTCAAGAGAATGTTACAGAATGGGGGATGCGTGGCTCGAGGACAGTACATGTGAAAAAGATCTTGAAGTCTTCGTGGACTAGTTAAACATGAGCCAACAGTGTGATGCGGCAGCAAAAAAAGACCATGGGATTTTGGCCTGCATCAATAGGGGTCTAGCGTCTAGATCCAGGGAAGTCACAATCACAAGTCACAAATGCAACTGGCGGGGACGAGAAACAGGGCCTTCTCGGCTGTGGCCCCCCTGCCTATGGAACACACTCCCAAATGAGGTAAGATCTGCTCCCTACCTCCTGGCTTTTAGAAAAAAAAAAATTATGGTTCTGGGACCAGACTTTCGGACAGTAAATGTATGTAGCATTTTAGAGGGACATTGACTGGAATGGCGATTCGACTGACAAGACTATTTTATTGTTTTAATGCTTGTTGGTGTATTGCTTTAATTATGATTTATGTTTAATCGTAGTTTTACTATTGTGATTGTTTGTATTGGCATCGTATCGGTGCCCAATGCAAGGCATTGAATTTTGCCATTATGTGTAAACCGCTTTGAGTTCCCCCCGGGGTGAGAAAGGCAGTATATAAATACTGTAAATAAATAAATAAGTCATGCTACCCCTCTATTCTGCCTTGGTTAGAGCACACCTGGAACACGGTGTCCAATTCTGGGAGCCACAATTGAAAAGAGATGTTGACAAGCTGGAATGTGTCCAGAGGAGGGCGCCTAAAATGATCAAGGGTCTGGAGAACAAGCCCTATGAGGAGCGGCTTAAAGAGCTGAGCAAGTTTAGCCTGAAGAAGAGAAGGCTGAGAGGAGACATGATAGCCATGTATAAGTATGTGAGAAGAAGTCATAGGGAGGAGGGAGGGATCTTGTTTTCTGCTGCCCTGGAGACTAAGACGCAATGGAACAAACGCTTCAAACTACAGGAAAGGAGATTCCAACTGAACATTAGGAAGAACGTCCTGATTGTGAGAGCTGTTCAGCAGTGGAACTCTCTGCCTCGGAGTGTGGTGGAGGCTCCTTCTTTGGAGGCTTTTAAACAGAGGCTGGATGGGTTGTTGTAGGTTTTTCCGGGCTATATGGCCATGTTCTGGAGGCAATTTTTCTCCTGACGTTTCGCCTGCATCTATGGCAAACATCGGGGGTGTTTTGAATACGATTTTCCTGCTTCTTGACAGAACACGATTGGACTGGATGGCCCATAAGGTCTCTTCCAACTCTATGATTCTAAGTCAGATAAGTGTCAATAAATTGCACTTGTTTAATAAAATCCTTACATAGCAAACTTTAGCTGTTATACCGTACTGCTGAAGCATACAACTTGACCAAATGAAGGGCAGCAGCAGAGAAGCTTTTCATTTCTTCACACATGTTCCTTTTTGGAACAGTTGCTGATGCACATTGTTGTTCATTCGTTGAGTCATTTCCAGCTCTTCGTGATCTCATGGACGAGCCCACACCAGAGCTCCCTGTCAGCCGTCACCTCCCCCAGCTCCTTCAGAGTCAAGCCAGTCACTTCAAGGATGCCATCCATCCATCTTGCCCTTGGTCAACCTCTCTTCCTTTTTCCTTCCATTTTCCCCAGCATCATTGTTTTCTCTAAGCTTTCCTGTCTTCTCGTGATGTGGCCAAAGGACTTCATCTTGGCCTCTAGTATCCTTCCCTCCAATGAGCAGTTGGGCTTTATTTCCTGAAATATGGACTGGTTGGATCTTCTCACAGTCCAAGGCACTCTCAGAACTTTCCTCCAGCACCACAGTTCAAAAGCATCTCTCTTCCTTCACTCAGTCTTCCTTATGGTCCAGCTCTCACAGCCGTGGGTGACTATGGGGAATACCATTGCTTTAACTATGCGGATCTTGGTTGCCAGTGTGATGTCTCTACTCTTCACTATTTTATCAAGATTGGTCCTTGCTCTCCTCCCAAGAAGTAAGCATCTCCGGATTTCCTGGCTGCAGTCTGCGTCTGCAGTAATATTTGCACCTAGATATACAAAGTCTCTCACTGCCTCCACGTTTTCTCCCTCTATTTCCCAGTTGTCAATCATGCTTGCTGCCATAATCCTGGTTTTTTTATGTTTAACTGCAACCCAGGTTTTGCATTTTCTTCTTTCACCTTGATTAGAAAGCTCCTCGACTCCTCCTCGCTTTCGGCCATCAAAGTGGTGTCATCTGCATATCTAAGGTTGTTAATGTTTCTTCCAGCAATTTTCACCCCAGACTTGCATTCGTCAAGCCCTGCATATTGCATAATGTGTTCTGCAAACAAGTTGAATAGGTGGGGGGAGAGTACACAACCCTGCCGTATGTGATGCACATTAGATGCACGCAATTTCTTATTTAAGGGAGGGATATTCTAAACTAAAAACAACCCACCTAGAAGCATGGCTCAATTAAATAAAAGCATATAAACTTCAACTTTCCAAGGTATCGTAAGGATCAAAGAGGAGAATCTTCTCAAGTTTCACCTCAGACGATTTCAAAAAATGCTTTTTCCTCTTACCATCCTTACCATTTACCATCATGAAATCCAGCAAACCAATCTAATAAATTGGTATTAAAGCTCCCTCTAGCTGCCAAACTGAAGAACTGCATTTTCACAAACATTAAAATTAATTACTGTATATACTCGAGTATAAGCCTATTTTTTCAGACCCTTTTTTTAGGCTGAAAAAACTCCCCTCGGCTTATACTCGAGTCAAGGTTATTTATTATTTTATTCTGTTATTAGTATTATTTTTATTTCATGTATTATTTTATTACATTTACAGTATTTTACTCTATTATTATGATTATTATTATTACATTTATTATACTTTATTATTATTGCATTTATTATTTTACTCTATTATTACATTTATTATTTTACTCTATTATTAGTGTTATTATTACATTTCCATTATTTTACCTTATATTATTATTTTTATTACATTCATTATTTTACTCTCTTTATTATTGTTGGACGGATACGTAAATACATTTACATTGAAGAAGGTTAGAATAATGATTTAATCAGAGTTGGGCAGTCTTATCTCAAATTACAATTTTATGTAAATATTCAACATCATTTCTGATGCCTCAATTAATGTAATTTTATTGTTATCTATTTTTATTTTGAAATTTACCAGTAGCGGCTTCATTTCTCCCCCTCGGCTTATACTCAATACATTTTCCCAATTTTTTTGTGGTAAAATTAGGTGCCTCGACTTATATTCGGGTCGCCTTATACTCGAGTATATATGGTACATCAAAGGTTTGTGATCTGGGATTAGGAATAGATTGAACAAATTCATATTTGAGGATCAGAAGACTCATTTTTCTCTTATTTTTACCTTATCCCAAGGTTTATGTTTACCTTATCTTCCAGGCTGTGAAGTGGAGAACACAACAGGCGTAAGCCATAGTAGGCAAGCTCTGGGATGTATTTGGCTTGGTCAATGCTCCTGTTCCACATAAAATAAAATTTAACAGATTGCGGTTGTCTTTTGATTTGGCTTGAAAAAAAAGCATATTAAAATGTTCAAATATTCTTAAACAATACGGAATGGGGGCTCGTGGGACTGGCTTGACTAAAACATTTATAAGACATCTTCCATATGCATCAATATTTTCGTCTAAAATTCAGTAGTAAGAGCTGTCACTCACCTCTTTTCAAAAGCCGCAAACTCCAGTGAGCAAGGCTCCAAATGGGTCAAATTAACAAAGATCTAAGAGACAAACAAGCTAGTTAGGAACCAAACTACATAGCACAAAAGAATAGTCTCATATCTGATGCTTTCAAACTCAGATCCGTTTCCCAGCTCAGTGATAATCCTAAAAGTTCTGACAAAACTGGGAGATTTCCTTTGATTGGCACTAGGATAAAGCTCATTGGAAATTTGCTCAAAGTAATGGCCAACCTTATTAGAGAAAGAGAGAAAATGCAGAACAGGTGCAAAAATAGACATAAGGTCCCAAAAGAATATTTTGCCCTGCTTAAGCTTTAGCAGATTCTACTTTTTGTCTTAGAAATAGATGGCATCTAAAGGATAAGGGGGAAATTTCACCACTATGTTGTTAAGCTTTTTCTGTAACAGGACATAAATGAGAAGTTAATAAATTATTATTATTATTATTATTATTATTATTATTATTATTATTATTATTATTATTATTATACTTCTCACCCCAGTGGGGGAACTCAGGATGGCTTACAATCCATGGCATACAATGCCGCATTACGCATATAATAATAAACATAACATATCAATTTAAACATACAATAATAAAACAAGAGATAATAATAAGAAAATAAATACAATAAAAAAGCTTAAAGTAAACATACAATCTATATAAATAAAAATGTAATGATCGTTTGTGGGATTAACAGAACTAAAAACCACTGGACGAATTGACACCAAATTTGGACACAAGACACCTAACAACCCAATGTATGTCCTTCACTCAAAAAAATTGATTTTGTCATTTGGGAGTTGTAGTTGCTGGGATTTATAGTTCACCTACAATCAAAGAGCATTCTGAACCCCACCAACGATGGAATTGAACCAAACTTGGCACACAGTTCTCCCATGACCAACAGAAAATACTGGAAGGGTTTGGTGGGCAGTGTCCTTTGGTTTTGGAGTTGTAGTTCACCTACATCCAGAAATCACTGTGGACTCAAACAATGATGGATCTGGACCAAACTCTACATGAATACTCAATATGCCCAAATGTGAACACTGGTGGAGTTTGGGGGAAATAGAATCTTGACATTTGGAAGTTGTAGTTACTGGGATTTATAGTTCACCTACAATCAAAGAGCATTCTGAACCCACCAACAATAGAATTGGGCCAAACTTCCCACACAGAACCCCCATGACCAGCAGAAAATACTTAAGGCCATCCAGTCCAACTCCCTTCACCAGGGCAAGAAAACCCCCATGTGGGCCACAGCAACGTGTGGCAGGGGACGGCTAGTAATTCAAATATAAATACAAAAAAGAGCTTAAAAGTAAACATTGAATCCCAACCAAAGTGGGCTGATGGAAAATAATAATACCTAATAATTCATAATAATAATACCCTGACAAAATTATCATCTGCCAGCTGCAGAAGGCCACTTTACTGGGACCTGCATGCATTATTCGCCAATACATCTCACAGTCCTAGACACTTGGGAAGTGTCCGACCTGTGATCCAATATAACAGCCAGCAGAGTGTCTGCTGTGGACTCATCTTGTGGTGTTTCAAATAGTAATAATAATACTTTATTTGTATTCTACCCTACCTTCCCGAGGGGACTCAGGGTGGATGCCAACATAACAATGGCAAACATTCAATGCCTACATGAAACACACAATCTATATAAATAAAAATGTAATGTTCGTTTATGGGATTAACATAACTCAAAAACCACTGAACAAATCAACACGAAATTTGGACACAATACACCTATCAGGTCAGCAAGTGACCATCACTCAGAAAAACACAGAAAAACACAACAGAAGGTACTTAAAGGCTAAAAAAGCAAAAAGATGCTACAGCACATGTGCAAAAATGATGCCCACTTGCAAACAAAACACACAAAAGCATATCCACACTCTCTTTCGGACTACAGTTCCCAGCATCCCCTAGACCAGGCGTTTAGGAGAGGGGGATGATCCAAATCGATGCTTCCAAGACGCAAGCTTCCTTCTCCTTGGATTTCTTTGAGAGCATCCCCATCCCTGCATATTTCCAATTTCCTATTCCTGGACTGCAACTTCCAGCAATCCTCCAGATAGATAGTTTAGATAGAGATAGGTAAGTAGGTAGATAGACTGATTAGGAGGACTGAGGGAGTTGCAAGAATAGGTAGAGAAGGAAGAAAGGGGAGAAAGAGGAAGGGAAAGATAAGGGGGGAAAGAAGGATAGAGAGAATGAAAGAAAAAAGGGAACGAAGGAAGGAAGGAAGGAAAGAGGGAGGGAAGGAAGGAGAGAAAGAAAGGAGAAGAGAAAGAGGGAGGGAAGGTTGGCCACAGGAACAAGTGGCAGCTAACATAAAATCCCAGAAAATTATTATTTATTATTTATTTAAAACTTTTATATCCTGATCTTTTCTACCTCCGTAGAGGGACTCAGACCGACTCAGACAGCAAAAATTCAAGGCTAACACTAAAATCTAAAATATCATACATCAACATTAAAATTAACCAATACATATAGGATAAATTACATAACAGCCGTTCGCCAAGATAAAATCATGTCAACTCAGTCCATATATTCAGTCCATATATTGTGGTCAGTAACTTTGGTCAATTGCGGGTCTCAGACATCATTTCGCAAAAGCTTCGTTCCACAGCCAAGTTTTCACTAGCTTCCTAAAGGTCAGGAGGGAGGGGGCAGATCTAATTTCATTCGGGAGGGAATTCCATAGCCGAGGAGCCACCACAGAAAAGGCCCTGTCTCTCGTTCTCACCAGACGCACCTGCGAAGGTGGCGGGACCGAAAGCAGGGCCTCTCCAGACAATCTTAATACTCTTGATGGTTCATAGGATAGAATACGTTCGGACAGGTAAACTGGGTCGGAACCGTATAGAGTTTTGTAGGTTAAAACCAGCACTTTGAGGAAAACCCCACCTATAGAAGTAACATTAAAGCCTAACATCTAATTAAGACCTAACATGACATCAATAAATTAAACAACACATAATCAGACAAAATTATATAATAACATAAATCTAAACAAAACACCCACATTAGTGTACAACAGCCAGCAAGCTAGTCAAATGAGGTCATTTGGCTGGCAAGGACCAGAAAAGTCCAAATATGAATAGTTCTAAACCAGAGGCCCGGCAGTTATCTCTCGACCATCTAATCTAAGTTGACATGTTAGAGGGTATTGGGGGACATTTAAGGATAATATGAAATATCTAATAGGGTCAATGCAGATATTTGATGCCTAACAGCTGTCCATCCCTTGTCTAGGTGGGGGTTGGGATCTGTGGTCCTCCAGATGTTGGACTGCATTTCTAACCACTCTTAGATAGCACAGCCAATAGTTAAGACTGGTAGGAGACTCAGTCCAACATCATCTGGAGGTCTGCATGATTCCCACCCTAGTGTGGACATATAAGTCTTCCATGAAGTTAACCCTTTCTGAAAGCCCTCCAAGTGAGAGACCAAGTTATAATGGCAAATACATGCTTCTGCTACTTCCATTTTAAGATTGCTTAACCCCTGATGCTTCCAGTCACCTGAATGCACGTCTCCACACATTGCGGTCTCTCTTTTAGGGAGAACTTGGAAAGAAGGCGAAGGAGACTTTTCAGGAGAAGGAAAAGTGCCTCGCGGATTTGAAGCAATTCGTGTGCTGAGAAGTAAACCTCTTCTTCCTCTTCTTCCTCCTCTTCAAAGTTCTCTTCCAACTAAAATGGGAAAAAAAACAGATCACAGATTTGTTGAAAGAATGATTACTGAGCTACCATTCCCACTGAGTGTGCTGTTTGGAGTTACCCCTCAGAAAAAATGAGATCAGAGTGAAGAGAGGGGCCAGGAAGGCAGTTCCATCTTGTCTCCTGCACTGTGCTTATAACATAATATAATATAATATAATATTTGCATATACCTATAATATTGATAATATTATAATGTAATACAATATTGTACTACTAATAATAACATATTATAATTACATATTTTATATTAAATGTAATATTACTAATAATATTACAGTATAATGTTATAGTACAATATAGCAATATATAATATTAATATCGTGCTATGATAATAATATAATATATTGTATTTATATATTACTGTAAGCCACTCTGAGTCACCTTCAGGGTGAGGAAGGCGGCATATAAATGTTGTAAATAAATAAATATGGGAATTATTACCTTTTCTCAAAAACGAAACAAAACAAAATATGTATTACAAGGACATGATTTTCCTACCCTGAGGTTTTCTTTTCTTCCAGGTTTCCCCTTCTTCCGACCACCTGAGGGGTTTTTATTGTGGTCTCTTTTCCGTTTCCTGGGCATGATTGATTCTTGGGGCCAGCATTTGGACAATGTCTGGAGGCATTTTTCAAACATCACTGGGTGGAATACCCGATTGGCTATGCTGCCTGCCCAAAAAGAAAACAGGTGAGAGTCTACATATTGGAGAAATGTAAATAGGTTTTAAATAGCTTTAATAGCAAGAAACCATAGATAGATATCTGGGGACTTGTACTTATTTTTGGAAGTTATGGCACTCAGCACAGTTCCTTGCAGATGGCCCTGAGAGAAGAAAAATTGGGCTGGTTTACTTTAATGTGTACCACATCTATATAAATAAAAATGTAATATTTGTTTCTGGGATTAACATAACTCAAAAACCACAGGATGAATTGCCGCCAAATTTGGCAACAAGACACGTACAAACTCAAAGAGTGACCATCACTCCAAAAAAAACCCCTGATTTTGTCATTTGGGAGTTGTAGTTGCTGCGATTTATAGTTAATCTACAATCAAAGAGCATTCTGAACTCCACTGATGATGGAATTGAACCAAACTTAGCACACAGAACTCCCATGACCAACAGAAAACACCAGAAGGGTTTGGTGGGAATTGACCTTGAGTTTGGGAGTTGTAGTTCACCTACATCCAGAGACTACCATGGACTCAAACAATGATGGATCTCGACCAAACTTGGCATGGATACTCCATATGCCCAAATATGAACACAGATGCAGTTTGGGGGAAATAGACCTTGACATTTGGGATTTGTAGTTACTGGGATGTATAGTTCACCTACAATCAAAGAGCTTTCTAAACCCCACCAACGATAGAATTGGGCCAAACTTCCCACACAGAATAACCGTGACCAACAGAAAATACTTAAGGCCATCCAGTCCAACTTCCTTCACAAGAGCAAGAAAACGTAATCAAAGCACTCCTGACAAATAGCCATCGAGCCATAGATAGAGATAGATATATATGATTCACACACAGAGAGAGATATAGTATCATAGATTTGAAAGGGACCCCTAAAGAAGGACAATTATATGTTGCATCTTCCAGAGTAGGCAAACCAGACAATCTCCACATCAACATTGACAAAGAAACAACAAGAAATACTGTTTACACAGAAGCATAAATAATTATATATATTAGAAACCAACACTTTCTCATTATTTTATTTTCCAGATCATCAGACTGGGCCACAGCAATGCATGGCAGGGGACGGCTAGTGTGTTTATAAAAAACAATGAGAAAACACAAGTGATTCCAATTAGTTTACTGGGAAGTGCATGCATGTATAGAAGTGGAGGTAGTCACATTTTGCCAGAATGCGAAGAACTTAAAGTGCTGGTTGTGACTCAGAAAATGTTTTGTTTTGATCCAGAAACAGCCTTACAACACAACTAAAAGTAACTAAAAAAACTTTACTTCAGGATAACAACAACAACAACAACAATAATAATGCAAACAGCACTAAAGGAAACAGAAGCTAAAGTCCAAAAGTAAATGCAAGGTCTTAACAGCAGACGTTAAACAAAAGTCTTAGGCACAAGTCTTCACAGCAGATAGGAGCAAGAATCATTGGTAAAAAGGCTTACAGTATACAGGAACAAGAGTCTTTGACAAGAAAGCTTTTGCAAAGCTGACACTGTAGCTGTAGCATGGTAGCGCACCAAGCTAGTTGCTGCCAGCGCTGACTACTGGCCCTAAGCCCCCAGCACAGATCTTCCTAGGGCAAGGTGTGATTGCTCAATGTTTTTGCCTCGATTCTAACTGACCTTCTTCTTTCATTTTTTGCCCTTCGCCATTCTTGGAATGTAGGGACTTGTAGTATGTCTTCCACACCTTCTCCTTCCTCCTCAACACTTGGCCCCAAATCCCCAGTCTTCTGTTCTACCACCTCTTCAGAAACAGAAGTGTAGACCACAACAGAAAACCCTTAAAATAACCTGAACTCCCATATAAGCAACCCAATGATTTTTTTAAAAAGTCCTGAGTCACCTTCACTTCACATCCATCTCAGAAAGGCTAATGATTTTAAAGGATCAGGTTAAAATATTTAAGCATATGGACTCAGAGTACTTAGGTAAAGATTTTCCCCTGACATTAAGTCCAATCGTGTCCGACTCTGGGGGTTGGTGCTCATCTCCATTTCTAAGCCAAAGAGCCGGCGTTGTCCGTAGACATCTCCAAGAGCATGTGGCTGGCATGACTGCAAAGTACTTAGTGCCATCTATACGTTGGATTCATTGTACAAAAAGATGATGTAAACTATAACGTTGACATAACTGATCTAACTTAGGCATCAGATATCTTGAACAGAAGCAGAGGAAGATGATATGTGAACCAGGTTCAGTAATTCTTCTAAAACAAACAACGAAACGCACAAATGAACCCTTTTCTCTGGTGTCATTCCTTTTTCTGCTTGTATTTTGGCTGATTAGGCTACAATATTATAAGCAGGGACTGCTGCCTTACTCAAGGCATGTACTTCACACTGATTTTTTTTTAGCTGAGAAATAATATAAAATCAATTTCAAGCCTAAGCAAGAAGTGAAGGTACCATCACCAGGGGCTTTGAGGGAAGGGGCAGCATTTGTTTCCCCTGTTGCCTCTGGCTCAGCTCCTGTGGACTCACTCCTGGCAGAACCGAGGCCCTGACTCTGCAGCTCAAGGCCAGCAACAACACCTGCTTGCCCCAGAGGCTGGGGCATAAAAAGAACCACGCCTGCAGGGCCTCAGGCCTAAGCAAGAAGTGAAGGTACCATCACCAGGGGTTTTGAGGGAAGGGGCAGCGTTTGTTTCCCTTGCTGCCTCTGGCTCAGCTTCTAGGGATTCTCTCAGCTTCTGGGGACCGCTTGGTGTTGCTGGACTCTATCTTGACTGGCCTCCATTTCAACATCCTTGGSTCAGCACAGAGATACCAACTTTTGTTTCTTCCAGCCATGGCCCTGATTCACCTGATTCATCTTGAGTGAACACTGCCACCCCGGTTTGGCATCTCATTCTTCCCCTGATGGAACATCTGCTCTGTTAAAACTATTTTTAATATGTTTTATTGCATTTATATATTTTATAATTTGATATGTTATATTTGTTCATTGTTGTATGATGCGGCACTGAATGTTGCCATAATRTTTAAGCCACTGAGTCCCCTTCGGGGTTGAGAAGAGCGGGGTATAAATACAGTAAATAAATAAATAAATAAAAATAAATAACACAAACAAAGCAGCACTTAAAAGAAATCCCACTGGGTATCAGATGAGGTGTTCTTAGAATACCTCTGCTAACCACAGGTGAAAAGAATTATCCAAGGAGCTCATATTTACCTGGTATTTCAATCAACACAAAGTACAACCTAGCAGCGTGAAGGGCGCACAAACGCTGATGGAGATTGGCTGTCTTACTCTTAGCCTCTTGGACAAAATGATGCAACACGGCAACCAGGGCATTGTGGGAGATATTGTTCTCTGCACACAGGGACCAGATACTCTGAAAAAAGAGAAGGAAAACTGACAGAAGGAGACGAAATGTCTTTCCTGATCATGACACCAAACACTGTACTCTGCTATTGATACAGAATATTTCTACAGGAGCAACATTTCAATTGGCTTTTAAAGTGTGTATACATTTTGTTGGGACACCCTTTATTTATGATTATATTGTAGTAAATGCCTGAATAAATGTTACATGCATAGTGTTTAAATCCAGATCTGATGTCTATTCAGCTCTTATTTTGGTGTTCTTCAAGCTGGGACATTTTTTTGCTCCAGATAATTTAAAAGAACCAGCTGCCCCGGGCAAAGGCAACATTTGGAAACACCAACAGGGAATGTGTGGAAAGCTCTACTTTGCCTCTTACCTCAATGGCCGCACCGTCATCTTCAGCGAAGGGGCTGAGAGCGTCATAGAGGTGAGAGAAGGCTTCCAAACTATCGTCTGTGATCTGACTCTCCAGTCTCGGATCCAAAGGATCTGTCTCAGTAAATTCTAGTTCCCAAATAGTGTCAACCCAGGCTGAAGGGAAGAAAAAGGAAATTAAAGATGATTTTTCAGACAATATGATGTTCCCACAACATCAATTTAAAAATTATGATTTACAGTACATATATTTTTTAACTTGAAGAAACATTTGGTTTTGTTGTTATAAAAGACCTATCGACTCATTATAGTATTATTATATTTATTTATATCCCACTTTATCTCCCCCAAAGGGACTCAAAGCAGCTTAACATAATAGTATCAGCATAACAATTTAAAAATATACAAATATATGAACATTAAAACAGGATTAAATATAACCAGTATTAAAAATTAATGGTTAAAAACCATTAAACACATTCAAAGAAAAACTACAGCACACCTTAATTGATCTTAAACACCTTCATCTTTAAAAGTCTGTTGAAAAAAAAAGGTTTTAGTCTGTTGCCGGGAGGGGTCCATCCTGGCTTTCCCAGGCAGGGAGTTCCAGAACCGAGGGGCAACCACTGAGAAGGTCCTCTCTCTCATTCCCACCAACTGAGCTTGCAATGGAGGTGGGACCAAGACAAGGGTCTCTTCTGAAGATGTCAGGGCCCAGGCAGGTTCATACAAGGGGATGCAGTCGGCCAAACTGCCTGGATCTAAATTGTCTAGGGTTTTAAAGGTCATAACCAGCACAGACTGGCAGCCAGTGGAGCTGTTCAGTCGGCGCACAAGTTTTAATTGTGCAAAGGCTCCCCTGGCCACCTCAGATCCCTGGGCCTCAAGGTTCAGCACTGAGTCCAGGAGGACCCCCCAAACTGTAGACCTTTGTCTTCTGGGGGAGTGTGACCCCATCCAGCATAGGCTGGATCCCTATTCCCTGGTCTGCCTTCCGACTCTCTAGTAGTACCTCTGTCTTGTCTGGATTAAGTTGCAATTTGTTTGCCTTCATCCAGACCATTATTGATGACAGACATTGGTTTAGAGTCAGAACAGCTTCCTTGGCTTTAGGTAAAAAGGAATAGTAGAGTTGGGTATCATCTGCATATAGGTGGCACCGCACTCCAAAACTACGGATGACCTCTCCTAGGGCCATGAGTAATTGCATAAGTAAGTAAGGTAATAAGGATAATAATAATAAACTATATTTATACCCCACCACCATCTCCCTGAAAGGGGCTCGGGGCGGCTAACAAGAGGCCAAGCCCAAAATTACAATTCAACAAAGTAAAATACAAACAAGCAAATAATAACATCAAAATAAAATACATAAAATAACAGAATACACAATAAACAACCACAAAATAACATGGTGAAGAAATAAAAGCACAATAGGTGGGCCAAATGCACAGGATAAAATTGATAAAAATCCTGGGTGAGATAAGTAAATGGAGTAGTATGTGTCTGGGGGAAGAGCTCAGAAGGTATGCAAAGGACATGGATGCTCTTCCAGCACTCACTAGCCGATCCCTCTGCAATGCCAGAAATACAGCTTAACATTAGAAAATGTTGATCATTTCCGCTCCCTTGGCAGCCACCTTTCCACAAAAGTCAACACTGACACTGAAATACAAGACCACCTGAGGTCTGTGAGTGCAGCATTTTTCCAAACGGAGCAGAGTGTTTGAGGACCGGGACATTCATAGGGATACCAAAGTGCTTGCTTATAAAGCCATTGTCCTCCCAACCCTGCTATATGCCTGTGAAACGTGGACTGTCTACAGACGTCATATGTAACTCCTGGAACAATTCCATTACTGCTGCCTCCGAAAAATCCTGCAAATCTTTTGGGAAGACAGGCAGACAAATGGCAGTGTGCTGGAAGAAGCAAAGACCACCAGCATTGAAGCGATGCTCCTCCGCCATCAGCTCTGCTGGACCGGCCACGTTGTCCAAATGCCCGACCACTGTCTCCCAAAGCAGTTATTCTACTCCGAACTCAAGAATGCAAAACGAAATGTTGGTGGACAGGAAAAAAGATTTAATGATAGGCTTAAAGCCAACCTTGGTAATAGTATGATAGCTCGGTCCAGAAGTTCTGAGTGTTACGGATATGCCACATCGTTCCTGCGGGAGCATTGTTTGCACAAGAGAGACTTAGCTAATGGAAGCCAGGCCGGAGACAGATAATATAGAAGGAATGTAAGAGTTCTTTAATAGAGAAACCCTAACCCTTACCCTAACCCTGAACTGTACCATAAGCCTAAGCCTAAGACCTTACCCAAACCCTTGCTATAACCTAAACCCTAAACCTTTGTTGTTGTTCATTCGTTCAGTCGCTTCCAACTCTTAATGACCTCATGGACCAGCCCACGCCAGAGCTCCCTGTCAGCCGTCACCGCCCCAGCTCCTTCAAGGTCAGTCCAGTCACTTCAAGGATGCTATCCATCCATCTTGCCCTTGGTCGGCCCCTCTTCCTTTTTCCTTCCACTTTCCCCAGCACCATTGTCTTCTCTGAGCTTTCCTTTCTTCTCATGATGTGGCCAAAGTACTTCATTTTCGCCTCTACTATCCTTCCCTCCAATGAGCAGTCAGGCATTATTTCCCAGAGGATGGACGGGTTGGATCTTCTCGCAGTCCAAGGCACTCTCAGAACTTTCCTCCAGCACCACAGCTCAAAAGCATCTATCTTCCTTCGCTCAGCCTTCCCTAAGGTCCAGCTCTCTCATCCGTTGGTGACTACGGGGAATACCATGGCTTTGACTATGAGGATCTTCATTGCCAGATTGATGTCTCTACTCTTCACTATTTTATTGATATTGGATATTGCTCTCCTCCCAAGAAGTAAGCGTCTGCCTTTTCTGAACCCAGCTTGTACATCTGGCAACTCTCTCTCCATGTATTGCTGGAGTCTTCCTTGCAGGATCTTGAGCATTACCTTACTGGCATGAGAAATAAGGGCCACTGTATGGAAGTTTGAGCAGTCTTTAGCATTTCCCTTTTTTGGTATGGGGATATAAGTGGTTTTTTTCCAGTCTGATGGCCATTCTTGTGGGGAGGTGTTTTACGACGCCATAAAGAAAGTAGGTCAGAAAATGCTGGGCGACCAAAAGTAAGAAGTCCTGACGGCTCTTCGTCATAGAGGATAGAGCAACAGCACCCCCTGGACTCGAACCCAAACTTCCATGGCACCTCCTTCTGTTCTGTCTGTGTATTGTGTATACAAAGTTCCATTGAATATTTGCTGTGTATGTGTACTGTGATCCGCCCAGAGTCCCCTTGAGGGTAAGAAGGGCAGAATATAAATAAAGTATTATTATTATTATTATTATTATTATTATTATTATTATTACCCTAACCGTAAACAGCAGGAGGAGCTGAGGAGCCTTCTAATAAAAGTGAAAGAAGAAAGTGCAAAAGCTGGGTTGCAGCTAAACATAAAAAAACCAAGATTATGGCAACAAGAATGATTGACAACTGGAAATAGAGGGAGAAAATGTGGAGGCCGTGACAGACTTTGTATTTCTAGGTGCAAAGATTACTGCAGATGCAGACTGTGCCCAGGAAATCAGAAGACGCTTACTTCTTGGGAGGAGAGCAATGTCCAATCTCGATAAAATAGTAAAGAGTAGAGACATCAGACTGGCAACAAAGATCCGCCTAGTCAAAGCCATGGTATTCCCTGTAGTCACCTACGGATGTGAGACCTGGACCTTAGGGAAGGCTGAGCGAAGGAAGATCGATGCTTTTGAGCTGTGGTGTTGGAGGAAAGTTCTGAGAGTGCCTTGGACTGCGAGAAGATCCAACCAGTCCATCCTCCAGGAAATAAAGCCCGGCTGCTCACTGGAAGGAAGGATACTAGAGACAAAGTTGAAGTACTTTGGCCACATCATGAGGAGACAGCAAAGCCTGGAGAAGACAATTATGCTGGGGAAAGTGGAAGGCAAAAGGAAGAGGGGCCGACCAAGGGCAAGATGGATGGATGGCATCCTTGAAGTGACTGGACTGACCTTGAAGGAGCTGGGGGTGGTGACGGCCGACAGGGAGCTATGGCGTGGGCTGGTCCATGAGGTCACGAAGAGTCGGAGACGACTGAACGAATGAACAACAACAACACTCAGGGTCAACCTAAGTCTGAAATGGCTTGCGAGGTTTTTCAGGGTTTCGGGGGGGGGGCCTGAGTGAGTGAAAGAGGGTCTACCCTAGCAAACCTTTTGTATCATTACCCCAATACCCCCATGCATATGGAATATATTGAGTATGGTGATCAGATCATGATATGAATAAACATAACATAAATAATGTACCAGTAAGGCCTTTTCGCGACCAGCATGAGAATTTCGGGGGGGGGGGGCTGAAGCCCATCAACCCAAACCCTAAGCCATACCCTAACCCTAAACCCTATCCCTTACCATAACCCTAACCCAAACCCTAAACCTTGCCCTAACCCTTACCCTAAGTGTCCCCTCCTTTCTAACTTTCCTTTGCTCTCCCCCTCTCTTCCCTTATTCACAGCCGCCTTTGTGGCATCTTCGTAACACTCAGAGCTTCTGGACCCAGCTATCATACTATCACCCCAACCTTAAAAACTGTGGCATAGACACCGAGAACTGGGAAGCTCTGGCCCTTCAGCGCTCTCACTGGAGATCAGCTGTGACCAGCAGTGCTGTGGAATTTGAAGAGTCATGAATGGAGAGAGAGAAGGGAGAGCGAAAGGGAGAAACGTGCCAAGGGGAAGGCACGTCAAGCTAACCCTGACTGGGACCACTTTCCGTCTGGGAAAACATTCGGATCAAGAATAGGGCTCCCCAGCCACCTAGGGGCCCACCGCCAAGACACAACATCCGGAAGACCAGAATCCTCGAGCTTGGTAAGCCAACCTTGGTAAGAGTATGATAGCTTGGTCTGGAAGCTCCGAGCGTTACGGAGATGCCGCATCGCTCCTGTGGGTGCAGTGTTTATGCAAGAGATACTTAGCTAATGTAAGCCAGGCCGGAGACAGATAATAGAGAAGGAATGTAAGAGTTCTTTAATGGAGAAACCCTAACCCTGAACCGTACCATAAGCCTAAGCCTAAGCCCTTACCCACTAGAGACAAAGCTTGAAGTACTTTGGCCACATCATGAGGAGACAGCAAAGCCTAGAGAAGACAATTATGCTGGGGAAAGTGGAAGGCAAAAGGAAGAGGGGCCGACCAAGGGCAAGATGGATGGATGGCATCCTTGAAGTGACTGGAATGACCTTGAAGGAGCTGGGGGTGGTGACGGCCGACAGGGAGCTCTGGCGTGGGCTGGTCCATGAGGTCACGAAGAGTCGGAGACGACTGAACGAATGAACAACAACAACAAGCCCTTACCCAAACCCTTGCTATAACCTAAACTTTTGTTGTTCATTCGTTCAGTAGCTTCCGACTCTTCGTGACCTCATGGACCAGCTGGGATGTCTTGAGGTGCCTTTGCCTTGGCACGTTTCTCCCTTTCGCTCTCCATTCATGCCTCTTCGAATTCCGCAGCACTGCTGGTCACAGCTGACGTCCAGTCAGAGGTCCTTTAAGGTATTTCTAGGTGCAAAGATTACTGCAGATGCAGACTGCAGCCAGGAAATCAGGGACGGCCTTCCCTCTGGAAACCGTTGCCCTCACTTTGGGAGAACATGCGGATCAAGAATAGGGCTCCACAGCCACCTATGGACCCAACGCCAAGACACCACATCTGGAAGACAATCATCCTCAAGCTAGGAGAGATGGGCCTAAGCCAGGAGATGGGCCTAAGCCAGGACGTGACAATTCCATCCGGGGCCCCCCTCACTCACCTTGGCTCACAGCCCGGAGTCTCCACCGTTCCAGAGCGCCCAACAAGGCCGCCATAATTGCCACAACTTCAAATCTAAACCGCCGCCACCTTCCAAATAGCCAATCCCGGCCTTCCCTCTCCCCTCAGCCAATTATCGCCTTGTTTGGACCGCTCGACCAATCACCAACTCCCTTCGACTACTCTCTCCAGCCAATCACAGCCTCGCTTTACCACCCGACCAATTACCGCCTCACGCCCCATCATGGCGTTTCCTCACTGCCACCCAATCGCGGCCTTCTGTCACCGTCGGGCCAATCGCAGCTAAGGAGAGGCGGAGCTTCGCCGCGCATGCGCTCCCTCCCTCCTCTCGATTCTGCCTGCCTGCGCGGCCCGGGCGGGGCGCATGCGCAGTTGGAGAGTTCCCCGGGACGCGGCGCGAGCTCGGCAACAGCAGCAGCAGAGGCAGCAGCAGCAGCAGCGGGTGGAAAAAAAAGGCAAAGCCGGGACAACGCATCAGGACTTCCTTCTGCAAAAGAAAAAACTACAGGGTTGGGTTTTTTCTTGCATTGCACTGGAGCTGCGTTGCATTGGAGGCGGAGGCCTCCTTGCAGCCTGCTCTGTGCAGCCTCCTTCCCAGGCCTCCCTCCTGCCTGGGAAAGCAACGCCCCCTGAAATCCCTGGGATCAGGCCCACCTTGCAACAGCCTTGAGGGCAGGCCTGGGCATGGAGATGAATTAGATCTGCCTCCTCTTTGCACTCCTCCTTTTGCACCCTCTTTTGCACGCCTCCCTTGGAGGTCAGAAGGAGGAGGAATTGCCTTCCCCAGCTCATCCCCTCTCCAGGACCATTGCTGAACCCATGAAGCTTTGCAGAGCACCCCCCTTGTTGCTATTCTTATACAGCACCCCTGCTTCCCTCATTCCCATCTTCTGAATCCCTTCTGGGCCTTCTTTGGCTCCTCATTTGCAATCTCAAGAGGAAAGCAGATGAAGCCTCCCTGCATCCTTGTTCATATTGGTCCCAAATAGCATCCCCAATGGGCTTTGCTTTCCCCAGGGCTACATCTCTGTCCAAAGTTTCCTTTTAGTGTTTTGGTAGCCATTCCCTTGCTGAAACAAGCCAAAAGCCATTCCTTCGCCAAAGCAAAGCAAGGACCAACTCTCTGGATCCGGGAAAGGTTTGGTCCAGCTCTGCTGAATCCTTAAGCACCGTCAGTGGGTTGAGACCATATCCCATTACTATTATCATTGGGTTCAAGCAGCATCTCGAATGGGCTTTGCTTTCCCCATTTTCTGAAGCCTTGGCTTTCCCCAGGGTTACATCTTTGTCCAAAGTTTCCTCTGGGGTTGACATTTTATTGTTTTGGTAGCTGTCCCCTTGCTGAAACAAGACAGGACTATTTCTGGATCTGGGAAAGGTTTGGTCCAGCTCTGCTGAATCCTTAAGCACCGCCAGTGGGTTGAGACCGCATCCCGTTACTATTATCATTGGGTTCAAGCAACATCCCCGATGGGCTTTACTTTCCCCATTTTCTGAAGCCAGGGCTGCACCTTTGTCTAAAGTTTCTCCTGGGGTTGACATTCTATTGTTTTGGTAGCTGTCCTTTGCTGAAACAAGCCAAGAGCCATTCTTTTGCCAAAGCAAGACAGGACTGTCTTTCTGGATCTGGGAAAGGTTTGGTCCAGCTCTGCTAAATCTTTAAGCACTGCCAGTGGGTTGAGATCGTATCCCATTGCTATTATCATTGGGTTCAAGCGGCATCCCCGATGGGCTTTGCTTTCCCCATTTTCTGAAACCTTGGCTTGCGCCTTTATCTAAAGTTTCCTCTGGGGTTGACATTTTATTATTTTGGTAGCTGTCCCCTTGCTGAAACAAACCAAGAGCCATTCCTTTGCCAAAGCAAAACAGAACTATATTTCTGGATCTGGGAAAGGTTTGGTCTAGCTCTGCGAAATTCTTAAGTGTTGCCAGTGGGTTGAGACCGTATCCCATTACTATTATCATTGGGTTCAAGCAGCATCTTGAGATGTGCTTTGTTTTCCCCATTTTCTGAAGCCGTTTTTGGCTTCTTTGCTGAGTCCCCTCGGGGAGATAGGGCGGAATACAAATAAATTGTTATTATTATTATTATTATTATTATTATTATCGCTCCTCATTCACGCTTAGACGGAAAGCCCTCTCTTGGCTTCCTGGAAAAGTACGCAATTGGATCACCGGATCTCTGAAAAGCTTAGTCCAACTCCACCGAACTAGAGAACCCTCATTGAGATTTGCTTGTGGATTGAAATTGGACCCCATTTTTAATATCGTTAGATGCAAGTAGCATCCCGGATTGGTTTTGCTTTCCCTGTTTTCTGAAGCCTTGCTTCCACTTGCCTTGTCTTCTCATTCAAGCCTGGCAACTTGGCAGCCTCAGGAGGAAAGCCCGCTCTTTGCCCACGGCCCGGGATTCCTTATGAGCAAGGATAGCCACCTCCTGCTGCTTTCTCTTCCTGGCTTGGTAACCTTTCCGAAAGAAGACAGGATCATCTTTCTGGATCTGTGAAAGGGGTTGGTCCAACTCCTCCGAACTGGAGAACTCATTGGGTTGAGATCGCTGGGTTCTTCTGCTTTTGCTCCTTGGGGTTCGGCCCCATTCTCTCCCCGCCATCATCATGAGCTTCTTTGGGTTTGGACAGACCGCCGACTTGGAACTGGTCCTGAGCGACGCCGAAAGCAGGCGCCGGGCAGAACACAAGACCGAAGAAGGCAAGAAGGAGAAGTACTTCCTCTTCTACGACGGAGAGACAGTTTCGGGGAGGGTCATCCTCACCCTCAAGCACCCCAACAAACGCCTGGAGCACCAAGGCATCAAGGTGGAGTTCATCGGGCAAATTGGTAAGATTGGCGGGCCTTTCGGTCCGTTCTGTATGTAGTTTGGAGGTTGAACCTTCCGCTGTGGCAATAGATGGGTTGACCATCCCTACATCAAAATCTGGAATGCCCCAAAATGGTTCGTGCAGATAGGGGCACCTTTGCTTTCTGGACACCAACTTTGCTTTCTGGACACCACATCAACTTGGGTTCATGTGCAAAATTAAAATATTGTGTATAATATTACTTTCAGGCTACGGGTATAACAGTGGTTCCTCAACCTGTGGGTCCCCAGTTTACCAGCTGTTAGGATTTCTGAGGGTTGAAGACCAAAACATCTGGGGATTCACAGGTTGAGAATCACTGTTGTGGAAGCTTTATAAATTAGTATCATGTTGAGAGTTGAGTCCCATCTCCAAGATACTATGTAATATACCAGAGTATATTTTCCCCACCTGTATGAAGGTCCATATTTATGACCCCGTTCCTTTATGAGTTTTTCCCCCTCAAACTATCTGCTCCATCCGTATCTCATCCTGATTTTAGTATATTTAGTATTTTAGTTTTTTATCTCCAATATACGGCCCGCTCATTGTTATTTTATTGGGTATGATTTTGCTGTCGCTTTTTATTGGTACTCATATGTTGTATGTATTTTATTGTGTTGCTATCGTGTTTTGTTTTTATTTTATTGTAATACTCTGTTGGGCTTGGCCTCATGCAAGCCGCCCCGAGTCCCCATTGGGGAGATGGTGGTGGGGTATTAAATAAAGATTATTATTATTATTATTATTATTATTATTATTATTATTATTATTTTTACAATGATCCATTTCTCAAAATTTGAAATTCTTCTGATTTCAAAAGGGGAACTCAACCTGTAGGTAAATCAGTTCTGGTGCTGAATAACGTATCAGTAGATTGTTGTGATTATCAAATGGGCCTCTTCCTAAGGGAAGCAGAAAGGTCTTGTAAGTAAAGCTTCCCTGTATCCTATAGTCATCGTTGATTGCTCCAACTTGTTCCAGGAATACATCCAGTCCCCTCTTACGGCTGGTAGTGACTACCACTAACCTTCGTGGTGGTGAATTCCATAGTTTTAACTTCCTAAGTTGGGTCTGTTCTGAACCTGTTCTCATGTTGCCAGGCCATGACCAATGGTCCACGCTGTTCTCTAGGAATTGGAGAAAGTCCTCCAATTTCCTTTTCCTATCAGCATCCTTCAGGTGGCAGTGCTCCAATGTGTGTTGGGAACCAGTGTGTGGGCAGCATCCACCCATATTAATTCCAAGCATCTGCGTGTCACCACATAATTATCTGTTTAAAAAATGGTAACAAAATAGCGTCTTCAAAAAATAGCCACTAAGTGGCATCCTGATGTATGAAACCACTTTCGTTCTACCTGTTATAACCGATGCTATGTTCTTTGATGGACAGTAGCACTTCCAAGATCTCAAACATTTTCCTATCATCTGCCCTATGATCCATTTAATTGGAGGTGCTAGGGATTGAACTTGGGTGCTCTACCTGAGTTAGGGTCTTTTTTTTTTCTTTCAGCCAGAGCTTAAACTGGTCCTTGCAAATGAATGGTGCACGGTAATGGCGGGTCCATAAATGAATTAATACTTTGTGTGAGTCTGTGCTTTCAAGTCACCTGTTGACTTATGATGACGCCATGAATTTTATAGGGTTTTCCCAGTTCCTTCCTCTCAAATTCATGTACAGCGCCTGGCATTTGTTGGTGGCTTCCCTTTCAAGTACTGACCCAGCTTAGCTTGCAAACTCAGAAGGATTTAGGTGCCTTTAGGGCAGTGATTCCCAACCTTTGGTCCTTCAAGTGTTTTGGACTCCAGCTCCCATATTTCCTAACAGCTGGTAAGTTGGCTGGGATTTCTGGGAGTTGTAGTCCAAAACACCTAAAGGACCAAAAGTTGGGAACCACTGCTTTAGGGTATTAAATGCCCTATAATACCCTTTAGGGTATTCAATACCAAATTTACAGAAAGGGAAATGAGATGCATGAAAGAACAATCATGCTCCGGGATATCTGTGTTTGGGATGCTGAAGCATACTGCAAAGGTGTTTCCTTATTTAATAACCTTTGTATTGGTCATGATCTTCTATGCAGTGGTTCCCAACCTTTTTTTGACCAGGGACCACTCTCTAACATTAGTACAAAAAGGGTTACGATTAACTTTTGATTTAGTTTGGTTATTTGGGGTACTGATTTGGAAAATTGCATTGGATAGACCACATCAGCTCTAGGTTCTGATACAGAACATATGCCACCCAGTAGTCGCCATCTCCTCGCCCACAGAAAACCACATTTAATCATCTTAAGCAATGGACCTTATTTTAGTCTCGCGGCCCACCAGTGGTCCAAAGCCCACAGGCTGGGAACGTTTCCCACCAACACAAGGAGCAGAAACTTTCACAGGCTTTGCTCTATGGCAATCCATTCTCTGTTCATTGTCCCTTGGCCTCTGGTAAGATATGGTGATTTGCACCAGTTCCATACACTTTCTGTCGAATGGTGTTCTGGATAATCGTTTATTTCCTTTGGAAGTTGTCATGGAGTCTTTGTGAGAAGATACCCATGATGGACAGGGTTACAAGACGGTCATCCGCCATTGTTGATGTTTCCTTGCGATGCCCACCTGCACCAAGTTGTTGCTTCCTTGTGTAACACAGTTGGTTTGGGTTGTTGTAGGTTTTTCAGGCTGTATGGCCATGTTCTAGAAGCATTCTCTCCTGGTGTTTCGCCTGCGTCTATAGCAGGCATCCTCAGAGGTTGGTTTGGTCTTTCTGTGGGAGAGAATGTTTATACACACACACACACACTAGCTGTACCCCTTTTTCTTTCTTCCCTTCTCTTTCTTCCTTCTCTCCTCTTCCTTCCTTCCTTCCCTCTTCCTTCTCTTCTTCCTTCCTTCTCTCTTTCCTTCTTCCCCCTTTTCTTTCTCTTCCTGCTTCTCTTTTCTTCCTTCCTCTTTCCTTCTTTCCTTCCCTCCCTCTTTCTCTACATTCCCCTTCCTTCGCTCCCTCTTTCTTCCTTCTTTCCTTTTTTCTTTCTTTCTCTCCTTCCTTCCTTCTCTACTTTCCTTCTTTCCTTTTTCTTTCTTCCCTCTTTCTCTCCTTTCTTCCTTCTCTACCTCTTCTTCCTTCCTTCTCTCTTTTCTTCCATGCTTCCTTCTCCTTTCCTTCTTCTTTCCCTCCTTTCTTCCTTCCTTTTCCTTTCTTTCTTTTCTCCCCTTCTCTTCTTTCTTTCCTTTTTTCTGTATTGTCATTTAGCTTTTTGGCATTTCTTTTTGGGGCTTTTTAAGTCCCTTCTGCTGTGTTTTTCAGTGTTTTTATGAGTGATGGACATACATTGAGTTGTGTGTGTATGTGTGTGTGTGTATACACACACACACACACACACATTTGTATGTATATATATCTTGTAAGCCGCTCTGAGTCCCCTTTTCCTATTAGATGTGTTGCCCCTTTTCCAATGTTTTGCCCATTTTCCTATGTTTTGGCAATTAAAGGCGGACAAGCATCTCAGGTGACATTGTAAAATAATCCTGGCAAACTTTTCCTTTGAGTCCCCTGTTGCATGTGATCAGCTCTGATCATTCTCTGAACCAGCACTGTTTTCTGCTGACCTTTTTTTCCATCGCTCTGATTAAATGCAATAAATGTTTGAAGATCTCCATTTAATTCTGGTTCATAATAGCGTCTTAATGGAGCAGTTAGTCCTTTGTAGCCGGAGGGTGTTTTTGCAGATTTCGAAGGCCATTGGTGGTTAAGGCACATGTCTGCAAACAGAAGGGACTCACTACAGTCTTTGGCACTTCCAGTTTAAAAATAGAGCAGATCTGGTCCGTTCAGACTTTGCGATTATAGTGCTGTTATTCCACTTGATCCATTACTAAGCGCCGAACGTAGAAAAGTTACTGTCTTGGTTTACTGTCCCAGAATCCTCCAGATTATTTATTTATTTACAGCATTTATATTCTGCCCTTCTCATCCCGCAGAGGACTCGGGGCGGATCACAATGCACACATACATGACAAACATTCAATGCTAACATATGTAAACAGACACACAGAGGCTATTTAACTTTCCAGCTTCATGAGGGTATGCTTTTTGAATCCTGGCCACTGGGGGAGCTGTCGCTTCACCCACTTGTGACACCGATGGAGTACTTCCTCATTCCTTTGCACGCTGCTGGAAAGTTTTATGGCATCGTAAATTAGTTAAATTAGCCTCCCCACATAAGCGGTACCTAAATTTCCTACTTGACAGGTGCAACTGTCTTTTGGGCTGCAAAATTTTATTTATTTATTTATTTATTTATTCATGGCATTTATATTTATTTATTTATTTATTTGGGGTTCTTTTACCCCGCCCTTCTCACCCCGAAGGGGACCCAGGGCGGCTTACACAGTAAAGGCACGATTAGATGCCAGCATCACAACAATCATCTCAACTTACAGTAAAATTCACAATTACTAACATCTTCATGCATTATTCCAATAAAAATCAATGAAGTCAATAAAATCAATAAAATCAATACAAACCTAAATTCCTCCCTTACGTTGTCAGTGTTTGCTGTCTCATAGATCCGTTTTTAATACCATTTCGTCCATCCTGCTGGTCTTTAATTGCCTGGTTGCCTAAAGGCCTGGTCCCATAACCAGGTTTTCACCCTCCTCCTGAAGGAGAGGAGGGATGGTGATGCTCTAATTTCCCCGGAGAGTGAGTTCCACAGGTGAGGGGCCACCACTGAGAAAGCCCTGCTCCTCGTCCCCACCAGCCTCCCTTGTGAGAGTGGTGGGGTCGAGAGCAGGGCCTCCCCAGATGATCTCAGAGTCCGGGGTGGGACGTAGAGGGAGATACGTTCGGACAGATACACTGGACCGGAACCGTACAGGGTTTTGTAGGTCAAAACCAGCACCTTGAATTGTGCTCGGAATTGAACCGGCAGTGGAGCTGACACAGCAGGGGGGTGGTGTGCTATCCATGTAAGTACCGTATATACTCGAGTAGAAGCCGACCCGAATATAAGCCGAGGCACCTAATTTTACCACAAAAAACTGGTAAAATGTATTGACTCGAGGATAAGCCGAGGGCAAGAAATGCAGCAGCTATTGGTAAGTTTTAAAATTGAAAGAGATACCAATAAAATTACATTAATTGAGGCATCAGTAGAGTAAATATTCAAAAATATTTACATAAATTGTAATTTAAGATAAAGCTGTCCAACTCTGATTAAACCATTATTCTAACCTTCTTCAATGTAAATGTGCTTACATATCCTTCCAATAATAATAAAGGGAGTAAAATAATAAATGTAATAAGAATAATATTTGGAATGCCCTCCCCATAGAGGTGAGATCAGCCCCTTCGCTGATGGTATTTCGAAAAAGGTTGAAGACATGGATGTTTAAACAAGCATTCGATTAATCTGGTGCAACGAAACTGATGAACAAGGATTGGTTAATCACAGACGATGAAATTGGATTGCGACTACAATTAAGAGATGCATTGGATTATTATTGGTGGCCCAATAATATTGTGTATTGTGTATGTGTTTTTATGCTTTTAATGGAATATTGCTGCTTGTTGTTGTGTTGTAAACCGCGTTGAGTCGCCGATTTAGGCTGAGAAACGGCGGTATACAAGCGCAGTAATAAATACATGTAATAATAATAATACATAGAGTAAAATAATGGAAATGTAATAACAGTAATAATAGAGTAAAATAATAAATGTAATAATATCAATAATAAAGGAAAACAATACATGTAATAATGATAATAATAGAGTAAAATAATAAATGTTATAATAACAATAAAGAGTAAAATAATAAATGCAATAAAAATAATACTAATAACAGAGTAAAACATTAAATAACATTGACTCGAGTATAAGCCGAAGGGAGATTTTTCAGCCCCCTTTTTAGGGGCTGAAAAACTAGGCTTATACTTGAGTATATACAGTATATATATATATATACATACACACATACATACAATATATTATATTATTATCATAATACAATATCAGATTTTAAATATTACTATATTGTGCTATAACATTATATTATAATATTATTAAAATTACATGTAATATAAATATATAGATATAATATCACATTATTATTAGCATCATATTGCATTACGTTATATTATAAATATTATATGTATATAGACAATATATTATATTATAGTATATATTATATGGAGCCCCCAGTGGTTCAGTGGGTTAAAGCACTGAGCTGCTGAGCTTGTTGACCAAAAGGTTGCAGGTTCGAATCCAGGGAGCGGCATGAGCTTCCGCTGTTAGCCCCAGCTTCTGCCAACCTAGCAGTTCGAAAACATGCAAATATGTGTATATCAATAGGTGTATATCAATACCTGTGTATATCAATAGGTGTATATCAATACCTTCAGTGGGAAGGTAACGGCGCTCCATGCAGTCATGCTGCCCACATGACCTTGGAGGTGTCTACAGACAATGCCGGCTATAATGACTATATACATATAATGATAAGAGATTACTTAAAGACTTTGGTGGATATTATTTCAACCCTTAGGATGCTATTGCATAGCCCTGAGCTGTAATTTCCAGTCTGGATTATTGTTGCATGTTGCATGCATATCTTCACAATTCAAGTGACTTTTCTTTGCAGTGTTGAGTACCAGCCATGTTCTATCAAGTGTCTTTTAATTCCAGAACTGTATTACGACCGAGGGAACCACCATGAATTTGTGTCCCTGGTGAAGGATTTGGCCCGTCCAGGTGAATTCACCCAATCACAGACCTTCGATTTCGAATTCACGCATGTCGAGAAACCTTATGAGTCTTATACCGGACAGAACGTGAAGCTAAGGTGAATTTGGTTACCATCTTGGGATATTTTTTCTCAATAAAATGTTTTAAAATTTCAAATAATATCTGATTTTGCCTGTGTGGGTTTTAATGTTCTATTCAAAACAAATTCAGAGTGTTGTGAATGCATTAGAATATATATCATGAAGTAAAGAGAACAGCATATACTGGGATGTTGTAAGTTTTCCATGCTGAATGGCCGTGTTCCAGAAGCATTCTCCCCTGATGTTTCACCTGCATCTATGGCAGGCATCCTCAGAGGTTGTGAGGTCTGTTGGAAACTAGGAAAATGGGGTTTATATATCTGTGGAATGACCAGGGTGGGACAAAGGACTCTTGTCTATTGGAGGGAGGTGTGAATGTTTCAATTGGCCACCTTGATAGCATTTAATGGCCTAGCAGTTTCAAGGTGTGGCTTCTTACTGCCATTTTCCTAGTTTCCAACAGACCTCACAACCTCTGAGGATGCCTGCCATAGATGCAGGCGAAACATCAGGAGAGAATGCTTCTGGAACACAGCGATGTAGCTCGAAAAACTTACAACAACCCAGTGATTCCAGCCATGAAAGAGTTCGACAATACATTGAACAGCATATACTGTTATATTTTACAACAACTGACTGTATTTTTTAAAATGCTTTTAATGTTTAGGACACACAATTTTCTCGGGCAGGCTAAACTATAGTACTGTAAGCTGCACTCACTGTGGAATGTAGCCATTCCATTTAAAGTAGAGGAAAACCTGATTCAGTACAATGGGTCGCACATTATATTTCAGTAAATAAGGGATGTCATCCTGTGCACATTTTTGCTTGTCTCCTTGTGACTTTTTGAGAAGCAAGAGATTTTGTGGAATAGGAGCGAACTTAGTCATGCCTTTAGTCCTTTTCTCTTGAATCTTAGAGTTTGTCAATGCTTGTCAGTAGAAGAAAAAGTAGATAGTTTCATGCAATATCCAATGTTTCTAACATGAAGAGCTGCAGTATGACAATTAGGGTAACTATGGATACTGTTGGTTGTATATATAGATATAGGTATATTTAACTATGCATGAATGATGTGGGGAAATTTTCCACAGTAAAATGTCAGAAAAGTTTCTGCCTTGGAAATGTTTTGCTGCACATTTCAACTCTTAAGACTAGGCAGTTTATTTCAGCCCATTGCTTTACAGATTTATGGCTGCTGCAAAACACTTATTTTCCTGGGTTGTTGTAGGTTTTTTTGGGTTATATGGCCATGTTCTAGAGGCATTCTCTCCTGATGTTTCGCCTACATCTATGGCAAGCATCCTCAGAGGTAGTGAGGTCTGTTGGAACTAGGAGAAAGGGTTTATATATCTGTGGAATGACCAGGGTGGGACAAAGGACTCTTGTCTGCTGGAGCTAGGTGTGAATGTTTCAACTGACCACCTTGATTAGCATTTGATTGCCTGGCAGTGCCTGGAGCAATCTTTTGTTGAGAGGTGATTAGATGTCCCAGATTGTTTACCCTCTGTTGTTTTGCTGTTGTAATTTTAGAGTTTTTTTAATACTGGTAGCCAGATTTTGTTCATTTTCATGGTTTTCTCCTTTCTGTTGAAATTGTCCTGAAAATGAACAAAATCTGGCTACCAGTATTAAAAAAACTCTAAAAATTACAACAGCAAAACAACAGAGGGAAAACAATCAGGGACATCTAATCACTTCTCAACAAAAGATTGCCCCAGGCACTGCCAGGCCATCAAATGCTAATCAAGGTGGTCAGATGAAACATTCACACCTAGCTCCAGCAGACAAGAGTTCTTTGTCCCACCCTGGTCATTCCACAGATATATAAACCCATTTTCCTAGTTCCAACAGACCTCACTACCTCTGAGGATGCTTGCCATAGATGCAGGCGAAACGTCAGGAGAGAATGCCTCTAGAACATGGCCATATAGCCCGAAAAAACCTACAACAACCCAGTGATTCCGGCCATGAAAGCCTTCAACAATACATTAATAATACTTTATTTATACCCTGCCACCATCTCCCCAAGAGGTCTCGGGGCAGCTTACAACAATACAGCAATACAACAATGCAAATGTACAACATAAGAATACAGCAATAAAATATAAAAAATAAAATACAAGAAACAGTATAAATGAACACATCAGACAATATAAAATCACAATATTTGAAAACAGAAAGTTGATCACAGTGGGCAGGGCCAGTTGCAGAAATAAAAAATTTAAAAACACTGGATGAGAGAGCAATGTAATGTAACTGGATGGGGGATCCGAAGGACGAAGTGGGGTTTAATTGCACTAACAGGTAAAATAAAGTGCTTCCGAGGGCATTTATGCAGGGTTTGGTCAGGTCAGGGATTGTTGTTCATTCATTCATTGAAGGCACACTGGCACAGCCAAGTTTTCAGGCTCTTCCTGAAGACTGCCAGGGTGGGCTTGCCTAATTTCTCTGGGGAGCGAATTCCAAATTTATTTATTTATTGCCTTTTTAAATATCTCTGCTTCTGTTTGGGAACTGCCCCTCATACAGTGTACGCAAGGAGCACAGCTTTGTTTTAGCATGGGCTCTCATGGAGCATTTGGAAAACCCGATTTTATTTATTTATTTTATTTATTTATATCATTTTTACCCTGCCCATATCAGCCCAAAGGTGACTCAGGGCAGCGAACAGCAAAGTGCCAAATTTTCAATTTTTTTCAAAAGCTTAGGAGGGAGGGGGCGATCTAATACTCCTGGGCAGGGAGTTCCACAGCCGAAGAGCCACTACAGAGAAGGCCCTGTCTCTCATCCCCACCATACGTGCTTGTGAAGCCGGTGGGATCGAGAGCAGGGCCTCCTCCGACGATCTCAAATCCCTAGTAGGTTCATAGGGGGAGATGTGTTCGGATGGACAAACTGGGCTGGAACTGTTTAGGGCTTTATAGGCTAAAGCCAGCACTTTCAATTGTGCCCGGTAGCAAACTGGCAGCCAGTGGAGCTGATGCAACATAGGAGTTGTGTGCTCCCTGAGCACTGCTCCTGTTAGCAACCTGGCTGCCACACGCTGGACCATTTGAAGCTTCCGAACAGTCTTCAAAGACAACCCCACGTAGAGCGCGTTGCAGTAATCTATGCGGGATGTAACCAATTTTAAAAGCTTTGTCCACATGAGTGCCATAGTTATTGGAGGCTCACAAGCCTGTTTCATGTCCTTCTCTTCCGTTAGGTATTTCCTCCGTGCCACGGTGAGCCGTAGGCTGAACGATGTGGTGAAGGAAATGGACATTGTTGTGCACACGCTGAGCACGTACCCCGAACTCAACTCCTCCATCAAGATGGAAGTGGGGATTGAAGATTGCCTGCACATCGAGTTTGAGTACAATAAATCCAAGTAAGTGTCTTCTGGCTGAGTTCTGATCTGAAGCAGTTTGCAAAAGGGGTGATGCAACCTATGGAATCCCCTACCCCAGGAATTCCCATGTTGTCAGTGTTTCAGACCTGCAGGAACACCTTTTTCTTCCTGAAGTTCTGTAGCTTTTGATTTCTCTTGTGTCCTCTTGATCTTTGTGTTCCTCTGCCTCAACATCATCTCTTCTTGCAGTCCTAACTTCTTTGTTGTTTCATTGGGTTTAAAGAGTATCCCCACTGATATTTCTTTTGCAGAGAAATATATTTAAATACGACGAAGTGAACAGTTGGGAAAGGGAGTCTTTTCTCTTTTTAAGACTTGGAAATGCATCTTGTAGCCATCCTGGTTAGTGGAGTCCTGGAGCTGTAGTCCGCCTTACCCCCCAAAACCAGTGTTTCCAAGCTCTTGTTGTGGCTCAGTTTCAGTCTGAGCTTTCTGAGCTTGAGGACGAGGCTGATTCTGAGCCCGAGTTTCCACAGGATGAGGCTGAATTTCCTCAGGATGAGGAGGATGATGGGTTACAGATTTCTGAACACGTCCCTGTTGTTGAGGCAGACAGTGTTGATTCTCAAGAAGAGATGGCATTTCTGTTTCCCAGAGAAAGGAATGTTGTTTTAGATGAAGGTCATGATTTAAGTGAAACTTCACAGCTGCAGGTGGAGGAGTCAGCCGCTCCATCTGTGAGCTCAGTGCCTCTCCGTTCTCAGGGTGACCAGTCCCAGGATAATGAGTTATCCGGCCTTGAAGGTGATGGGGATTTGTTTAGGGAGGACCGTTTGTAATTAAGGGTACGCCGAAGTGCTCAGCTTGCCAACAAACGGAAAGTTCGAGGTCAACGTAATGCTTTCATGCTAGGGAAACATATTTAACGATCTGATTGAGGTCCATCTTTTGTCAGTGCAACTTTGCTTACACCCTGTTAACTTCTCTGGAATTGTCCTGGCTTTTGGGGAAAGCTTTTGTCTCTTTAGGACTTTGGTTTTGATCTTGGTTTTTGGGGACTTTGTCATGTTGCCATGGATTCTAGTTTGACCAGTGCTATTGGATTATACTTCATGTTATTTGCCTTTGGACCTTGGAAACTTTACCTTTGCATTTAAGACTCTGTTTTGGCTATTGAACTTTTGCTACTTTATTTCTATGTTTTTGATTTTGCTTTTTCTTTAATAAACTACAAAACCTACAGCCTTGGTGTGTGGTGGTGTTCTGAGCAAGGTGAATCTATCCTGAGCTGCGACAGCTCTATCAGTGTATCAATGAGTTACATCCAAAGGTTCCATTGGGGCAAGGACATCTGTGAAAGGAGAATCACTCTAGGCACCCTCCTTGTCACCCTGTTCTCCTGCACACTAACGAAAGACTCTTTTATAGTTAGTGGATCCTTCAAACTATATTTATGTAATTCACTTGTCTCAACTCTCTTGCTGACTTCCTGTCTGTTCCTAGATACCATTTAAAAGACGTGATTGTTGGGAAGATCTATTTCCTCCTGGTGCGGATCAAGATCAAGCACATGGAGATCGACATCATCAAGAGGGAGACCACGGGGACTGGGCCCAACGTGTACCACGAGAATGATACAATAGCAAAATACGAGATCATGGATGGGGCTCCAGTAAGAGGTGAGGTGGAGGAGACTTTCCTCAGAAGATGCTTTGAGGGTGACTTTTGGAGTAGTTTTCATCTTAAGTGAGCTTTACCAGCTGGAGAAATTTATTTATTTACTTACTTACAGTATTTATATTCCACCCTTCTCGCCCCGCAGGCGACTTAGGGCGGATTACAATGCAAATATACATGGCAAACATTCAATGCCATTTAGACATACAACATCTATAGACAGACAAAGAGACAATTTAACATTCCAGCTTTTTCCGGCTTCATGAGGGTATGCTCGATTCTGGCCACAGGGGGAGCTGCTGCTTCACCATCCACTTGTGACTCCGGGTCCTTTGATGGAGTACTTCCTCATTCTTCTTCATGTTGTTGGAAGGTTTTATGGCATCGTAAATTACTTAAATTAGCCTCCCCACATAAAGCGGTACCTAAATTTACTACTTGACAGATGCAACTGTCTTTCTAGCTGCATAGGTTAATAGCAACTATTAATGGTCGGGAGCTTACTCTGACCCAGGCTGGCTTTGAACTCATGACCTCTCGGTCAGTAGTGATTTAATGCAGCTGGCAACTAAATAGCTGCGCCACAGCCTGGTCCTCTCGGAAGGAGCAAGGTCAAGCATGCATCCAACTACACATTCCTTTTAGGTTCATCCCTCTTTCTCTTTCACTGGAAGACAAGAGAAGTATCAGTTTAGACATGTAGTAAATTAATACATCACTGTATTCACATTTCAACCTGTGTCCTACCCTTTGGCTTCCTTTTCAGGGGAATCCATCCCCATTAGGCTCTTCTTGGCCGGCTATGAGCTGACGCCCACCATGAGGGACATCAATAAGAAGTTCTCAGTGCGCTATTACCTCAACCTGGTGCTGATTGATGAAGAGGAGCGGCGCTATTTTAAACAGCAGGTAAGGAGGAAGACCCTCCCTGGACTCTTGTCCAGGAAGGCCTGAGATCATGGGATCCTGTGGTAGGAATTTCCCCGGAATGAGTATACCTCACTGCAGTCAGGACTCCATATCTGAATGGGATTGGTTCCCGGACTGCTTGTGGATACCCAGATTTACAGATGCTCACACCCTCATCCTGACTGCCAGGGGCTGCTAAAGTGGTGCCAAACTGTTTTAATTCTATAGTATGAATGAGCTGTGAAAATTTAAGATGCAAGTAAAGACTTCTCTCTTCCTGCAGGCCTATCTGTGAAATGTGAATTGCATTCTCTATCACTATCTTTATACTAAGTATTCTGGTATGTGTGTTTTGACTTTGTTGTACGCCACCTCAAGATGTAACAATTCAATTGTTGCTGTGGTTATTATTTTATTGACACAAAAACACAGTACGTCACAGCAAACAAGATATATAAGCTTGATTTTATATCACAAAATCACAAGTTGAACACTTCCCAAGCGTCTAGGACTATGTGATGTATTTTTGAATGATGCGCGCAGATCGAAGTAAGGTGGCCTTTTGCAATTGAGAGATCGTGATTTTGTCAATGTTGTTGTTTAGATGGACACCATGCTACTAACTGGAACTTTTGGGAGTTGATGTCCAGCAATTCATAGAATGGCAGATGATAGTCTTGCAGCACCGATTGTGTTTAAGTGCAGGCCAAGATCTTTAGGCACTGCACCTATTGTGCCGATCACCACTGGGACCACCTTGACTGGCTTGTATCACAGTCTTTGTAGTTCGATCTTTAAATCCTCATATTGTGTCAGCTTTTCCAGTTGTTTCTCTTCTATCCTGCTGTCACCTGGGATTGCAACATCAACAAGCCATACTTTGTTTTTTAACACGATCATGAGGTCAGGAGTATTGTGCTCCAAAACTCCGTCAGTCTGAATCCAGAAGTCCCAGAGTAGCTTGACATGTTCATTCTCTGTAACTTTTTCCGACTTGTGATCCCACCAGTTAGTTGCCGCAGGCAGATGGTATTTGTGGCACAAGTTCCAATGAATCATCTGAGCAATGGTGTTATGCCTCTGCTTGTAGTCTGTCTGCGCGATATTCTTGCAGCAGCTGAGGATGTGATCTATTGTTTCATCTGCTTCCTTGCAGAGTCTACACTTGGGAACTGTCATCGATTTTTCAATTCTGGCTTTGATGGCATTGGTTCTAATGGCTTGTTCTTGGGCTGCCAGAATATTATTATTATTATTATTATTATTATTATTATTATTATTGACACAGAACCACAGTATGTCACAGCAAACAAGATCTATATGCTGGATTTCGTATCACAAAATCACAAGTCAAACACTTCCAAGTGTCTAGGACTGTGTGATGTATTTTCGAATGATGTGCGCAGATCCAAGTGGCCTTTTGCAGTTGACAGATCGTGATTTTGTCAATGTTTATTGTTTCCAAATGCCGGCTGAGATCTTTTGGCACGGCACCCAGTGCGCCAATGACCACTGGGACCACCTCTACTGGTTTATGCCAGAGCCTTTGCAGTTCGATTTTGAGGTCTTGATAGCGTCTGAGTTTTTCCTGTTGTTTTTCCTCAATGCGACTGTCACCTGGAATGGCGACATCAATAATCCAGACTTTTTTCTTTTCCACAGTCGTGATGTCTAGTGTATTTTGTTCCAAAATGTTGTCAGTCTGGATTCGAAAGTCCCACAGTATTTTTGCATGTTCATTTTCCATGACATTTGCAGATTTATGATCCCACCAATTCTTTACTGCTGGCGGGTGGTACTTGTGACATAAGTTCCAGTGAATCATTTGGGCCACAGAGTTGTGCCTCTGTTTGTAGTCCGTCTGTGTGATTTTCTTGCAACAGCTGATTTTCTTGCAACCATGGTTTCATCCGCTTCCTTGCACAGTCTGCATTTTGGGTCATCAGCTGATTTTTCAATCCTGGCCTTAACTGCATTGGTTTTGATGGCTTGCTCCTGGGCTGCAAGAACCAGGCCTTCTGTCTCCTTCTTCAGGGTTCCATTCATGAGCCATCACCAGGTCTTCTCCTTGTCAACTTTTCCTTCAATCTTCTCAAGGAACTGTCCATGTAAGGCTTTGTTGTGCCAGCTGTCAGTTCTGGTTTGGAGTGCAGTTTTCTTGTACTGACTCTTTGTCTGCTGTGCTTTGAGAAGTTTCCGATTATTGACTTCAATTAAAGCAGGTTCTTGGCTTTCCTTGACATATTCTGCCAGGGCGTGTTTTTCTTCTTCGACTGCTTGTTTGACTTGTAAAAGTCCTCTGCCACCAGACTTTCTAGGCAGATAGAGCCGGTCAACATCACTGCGAGGATGTAATGAATTATGAATGGTCATGAGTTTTCTTGTTTTTCTGTCCAAATTGTCCAGTTTATGATGCCAGCAGTATATCTTATGACAGGTATGGCCCAGGTGTTTATGGCCTTGATGGTATTGCCTCCATTGAGCTTGCTTTTGAGAGTTTTTCTGACCCTTTGAATGTATTCTTTGCTGACTACAGTTTTCACATGTTCATGTTTGATGTTGTCCAGCTGTAGTATGCCCAGATATTTATAGGCCTCTGGTTAATGACATTATTATTATTATTATTATTATTATTATTATTATTATTAGTATGTCCAGATATTTATAGGTCTCTGGCTAGTGACACTTATTATTATTATTATTATTATTATTATTATTATTATTATTATTAGTATGTCCAGATATTTATAGGCCTCTGGCTAGTGACACTTATTATTATTATTATTATTATTATTAGTAGTAGTAGTAGTAGTAGTAGTAGTATGTCCAGATATTTATAGGTCTCTGGCTAGTGACACTTATTATTATTATTATTATTATTATTATTATTATTATTATTATTAGTATGTCCAGATATTTATAGGCCTCTGGCTAGTGACACTTATTATTATTATTATTATTATTATTATTAGTATGTCCAGATATTTATAGGCCTCTGGCTGGTGACACTTTATCACTTGGCCATTGGGCATATTTATGCCCTCACTTTCAATGATTTTTCCCTTCTTCAGTGCCAACAATAATAATAATAATAATAATAATAATAATAATAATAATAATGTGTGACATAGCAGGAGAAGTGCGCAGTGATATATGACTGATGTCTCTTCTCTTTGATCAGGAGGTGGTGTTATGGCGCAAAGGGGACATTGTACGGAAGAGCATGTCCCATCAGGCTGCGATTGCCTCCCAGCGTTTCGAAGGCACATCCTCCCAGACAGAAAGCAGGCCGTCCAGCCAGCCATCAGAGAACAACGGCCGACAGTGAGAGGCCCGGCCAAGGAGGAGGTTCAAGAGAAGGTCCTTCGGTCAAGCCTTGGACCTGCAGAGCAGGAAGGAGGATGCCCATCTTTCACCAGAGACTTGCAAACACACATTATCTGTTGGGTTGTGAGTGTGTGTGCGTGTTTTTCTCCCCTTCTTATTCATTTCTTTATTCCTTTTTCTCCTAAGGACTAGCAACGTGCAGGACAGGGAGGGAAACAGCGCATGTGATGGCAACATTCAATGTTCCATGGGGTGGGGTGGAAAGTCTGATGCTTGTCGAGCATGAGGGGGACTGTGGGAAAAGAGTGTTTGTGTTGCAGCAGTTTTTTGTGTATTCAAAACGTAACGAACCTTGTTGATTTGACTGTACATACAACTTTTTTCCTGAACTTCCTCTTTTCTCCCCCTTCCCTCACTCCCACTTGCATCATTCACACGTATGCATACATAGTTCTGTATCTGAGGCACATGTGGGAAAATCCCCTTCATTCAGCATCGAGGGAAAAATTAAAATGGGTAGTTGCATTTTGTTGTTGGTATCCAGAAAGGGCAATTGAAGAGAGATATTGGCAAGGTGGAATGTGTCCAGAGGAGGGCGACTAAAATGATCAAGGGTCTGGAGAACAAGCCCTATGAGGAGCGGCTTAAAGAGCTGAGCATGTTTCGCCTGCAGAAGAGAAGGCTGAGAGGAGACATGATAGCCATGTGTGAGGGAAAGTCATAGAGAGGAGGGAGCAGGCTTGTTTTCTGCTGCGTTGGAGACTAGGACACGGAGCAATGGCTTCAAACTACAGGAAAGGAGATTCTACCTGAACATTAGGAAGAACTTCCTAACTGTGAGAGCTGTTCAGCAATGGAACTCTTTACCCCAAAGTGTGGTAGAGGCTCCTTCTTTGAAGGCTTTCAAACAGAGGCTGGATGGCCATCTGCTGGGGGTGCTTTAAACGCAATATTCCTGCTTCTTGGCAGAATGGGGTTGGACTGGATGCCCCATGAGGTCTCTTCCAAGGCTTTTCAAAGGTAGAGATGGTAGATCTTGGGCTCCAAACATCTGGAGGACCAAAGGTTCACCAAGGAGAAGGTCACTATGTGTTTCTGAGTCTGTGTTTGGAGTACAGTTCAGAAAGCAAAGATACTGTATTACCAGAATGGTAATTTCTCCAGAATGGATATCCCAGGGTTCCTTTCTCTCTCCAAATTTGTATGATCCCACCCACTGCCTCTCGTTTAACCTTTTCTTACCCATTCCTATGGCAAACAATGCTTTTTTTCAAATTCTGCAGGGGTTAGGGAGAGGGGAATGACCCTCCCTGTGTGGGAGTTGTAGTTCACCCTGCATCCAGAGATACTGTATTACCAGAATGCGGGAGTTGTAGTTCACCCAGCATCCAGAGATACTGTATTACCAGAATGCGGGAGTTGTAGTTCACCCTGCATCTAGAGATGCTGTATTACCAGAATGCGGGAGTTGTAGTTCACCCTGCATCTAGAGATGCTGTATTACCAAAATGATAATTTCTCCAGAATGGACATCCTAGGGTTCCTTTCTCTCTCCAAATTTGCATGACCCCACCCACTACTTCTGACTTAACCTTTTCCTACCCATTCCTATGACAAACAATGCTTTTTTCCAAATTTTGCAGTGATTAGGGAGAGGGGAATGACCCGCCCGTGCAGGAGTTGTAGTTCACCCTGCATCCAGAGATACTGAATTACCAAACTTCCCAAAACAAACACTGCTTTTCTCAAGTAACCCCGGTATCACCGGGTCCTCAAGCTAGTAGAATATAGAGTTGGAAGAGACCACATGGGTCATCCTGTCCAATACCCATGCTATATTCCATTGAGGAAACATTACATAGGAGGAAATCAGAAATGTTTTCCCACTTGAAATGTGAGATTCAGAGCTCTATGAAAACCCCAAATCGGCCCCTGCAGAGAGGTCTTCCTGCCTCCTGCTGTTCCTAGGCATGTTTGTGCTTTTAGGAAGAGGAATTCAATCAACACAGCCTTACTGCTCCCAAACCAAGAGAATGCAGGAAGGCTGATGTGACCCCTTAATGCAGTTCCTCATGTTGTGGTGACCCCCAACCATAACATTATTTTCGTTGCTACTTCATAACTATAATTTTTCTATTGTGATTAATTGTAATGTAAATATCTGATATGCAGGATGTATTTTCATTCACTGGACCAAATTTGGCACAAATACCCGACATGCCCAAATTTGAATATTGGTGGTATTGATTTTGTCATTTGGGAGTTGTCATTGCTGGGATTTATAGTTCACCTACAATCCAGGAGCATTCTCAACTCCGCCGACAATGGAATTTAACCAAACTTAGCACACACAACTCGCATGACCAACAGAAAATATTGGAAGGGTTTGGTGGGCATTGACCTTGAGTTTTGGAGTTGTAGTTCACCTACATCCAGAGAACACTGTGGACTCAAATAATGATGGATTTGGACCAAACTTGGCACGAATACTCAATATGCCCAAATGTGAACACCAGTGGAAGTTTGGGGAAAACAGACCTTGACATTTGGGAGTTGTAGTTGCTGGGATTTATAGTTCACCTACAATCAAAGAGCATTCCGAACTCCACCAATGATGGCATCGAACCAAACGTGGCATACAGGACTCCCATGACCAACAGAAAGCACTAGAAGGGTTTGGTGGGCATTGATCTTGAGTTTGGGAGTTGTAGTTCACCTACATCCAGAGAGCACTGTGGACTCAAACCATGATGGATTTGGACCAAATTTGGCACGAATACTCAATATGCCCAAATGTGAACGCCAGTGGAGTTTGGGGAAAATAGACCTTGTCATTTGGGTGTTGTAGTTGCTGGGATTTATAGTTTACCTACAATCAAAGAGCATTCTGAATCCCACCAATGATAGAATTGGGCCAAACTTCCCACACAGAACCTCTACGAGCAACAGAAAACACTGTTTTCTGGTGGTCTTTGGCATCCCCTCTGACCTCCCCTTGCAACCCCCACCCAGGGGTCCCAACCACCAGGTTGAGAAACGCTGCCTTAGAGAAAGCGCCCCACCAAGAACGATTCATAGCTGGTACTTCTTATCCAGAATCTTTTGCTGTGTGCAAAGCCTTGGGCAGAGAGAGAGAGAGAGAGAGACTCATGATCCCTTAGTTCATTCAACATGACAATCTAGGAATGATTCCCTCGGCTCCGGGGAGAGGTGGATGAGCTCCCTCTATCAACTCCAGCTCCTCATGCGGGGACATGAGAGAAGCCTCCCACAAGTATGATAAAAACATCAAATCATCCGGGCGTCCCCTGGGCAACGTCAGTGCAGATGGCCAATTCTCTCACACCAGAAGCAACTTGCAGTTTCTCAAGTCGCTCCTGACACGAGAAAAACCCTTTCCAGAAGGGTTCCCTATTTGGTGAAGAACTCCAGATCAGATCAGGCAATCATAAAATATATAATTTTTTCAGCCTTTGCTGCAAAAGTGTATTTTGGTGTAACCCGAGTCTAGGAAGCACAAATAAAATTTGGACGCTTTCTCCAAAGTGCCAGGAGAGTCCTATAAAAACTGCCTCTCCAAACCTGAAAAAAATCAAAACATTGGAGGCAAAGCTCTAAAGAGATGGAAGCAATATCTTTGTCCTTAAATGTACAGAGTTAGATGGGTGTTTTCTTCCTCCAGCATGGGTCGTTCTTTTTGTTTCCAACCTTTGCATAGACATAACGGACAATTGCCATTGCTTTTCTGCCCCCCGTCCCTGTTTTGTGATAAATATGCACTTTCCTTCCGTAGAGGGCCTAAAATACTGAATGTTAGTTCCGAGATCTTGTAAATTTGCAAGCTGAGCCGACCGTCCTTCCTCCAAAAGAAACCGTTTGCATGTCATTGAACAACTTAGTGAATACTTTCCTATTTTGCCTTTTGACTTCAGCACTTTGAGGAATGTGTTTTAAGCTTCTCCCCATCGCCCTTCTCGGAAAAGGATGGGGACTGGAATTCGAAAACCCCTTTCCCTTCCAATAAAAGGAAAGCCGAGATGCCCACAGTTTTAATGAATTCTTGGACATAACACGCTTTTTTTATATAGTTGTATATTCGTTTCCTTTCTGTAATAAAATAAAAGTGCAGTTTTAGATCTTAGAGGTGTAGGATTGTGCTTCTTTGGAAATTCCGAAACGCCAGGAAAACGTGGCAGTAGAAGAGAGATCTTATGAATGCAGTGGCAAACAATTCATGGCTGGCACCTGCAGTGTGAGCTCCCGTAGTTAGCCCCAGCTTCTGCCAACCTAGCAGTTCAAAAACAAATGTAAGTAGATTAATAGATACCACTTCTGCGGGAAGGTAGTGGTGCACCATGCAGTCATGCTGGCAACATGACCTTGGAGGTGTCTTTGGACAATGCCGGCTCTTTGGATTAGAAATGGAGATGAGAACCACACCCCAGAGTTGAACCAGTCAGACAACCACCATGTCAGACTACACAGAGAAGCCATTGAAATCCACAAGCATGTGGGCAATTTCAACAAAAAGGAAGAAACCGTGAAAATTAAAATCTGGCTACCAGTATTTTAAAAAAACCCCTCTAAAATCGTAACAGTAAATAAAGAACAACACTCAAAAACAGGGGGATTCCAGACAAGAAACAATCAGGGCCAGCTAATCACCTCCCAACAAAGGATGCCCCCAGGCAGTAAGAAGCCACACCTTGAAACTGCTAGGCCATTAAATGCCAATTGAAACATTCACACCTGCCTGAAGCAGACAAGCGTTCTTTCTCCCACCCTGGAAACTAGGAAAATCCAATTTTCCTAGTTTCCAACAGACCTCACAACCTCTGAGGATGCCTGCCATAGATGTGGGCAAAACATCAGGAGAGAATGCTTCTGGAACATAGCCATACAGCCTGGAAAACTCACAACAACTCAGTGATTCTGGCCATTAAGCTTTCATTTTCCAGAAAAACAATGGTCCCTCATGGTTTCCAAGGTTGCATTTCAGTGCCATCAGTGCAAAAGATGACAACACAGTCTGAAGGTAAGACTGCATGGTGTCAGAAGGTTTTGGAGGACTGCCTATGGATCTAAACCTCTCTCTTGAAGAGTTTGGACAAGTTACCCTTTTCCATTACGTTGGCCATATTTTTTGGAGAGTGGAGAGGAGGCAGTTTTGGCAGATGTAATACCAAAAGGTAACTTTTCCAAGCTCTGCTCTCTTCTTGCATTCCAAATAGAAGCTGTGCAAAGTTGCAAGCATCAAGACTATGGAAAATACTGCATTACTCTTGCATAATTTATATGGCTTTGCGTAGAACGTTATTTTCCTGCCCATGGTGTGCTGCATTTCCAACTTGCATCTGGTCATTCCTGGAAAAAGCCATGTTTCAATCGAATCTCCAACCTCAGACCGAGTGGAAAAAAGGCCGTCCGAACGGATCATGACGTGGGAGGGATATGTGTAGGAAGGAGCCTATAGGTACTAAATGAAGCAGTGCAACTTGTAAATTATAAGCCTCTGCATTGTTTACATGTTTCTTAATTCATTGTCTTTGAAATGGCTGCATTTTTAAATGATTTTTTTTGTCTCCAATTAAAAAAAAAAGGCCACTTAAGGCTTTCAAAGGACCAGTGTTGACATGTTTTTCTATCAATTGCATCCTATTAGTAGCCTACTCAGATGTAAGCTAGGCCTTGGGGTCAACAAGGAGTTGTCCCTATTCCCTCCATACCAAGCCGAGTCAGGGCCCCCAGTGGTGCAGTGGGTTAAACCGCTGAGCCGCTGAACTTGCTGAACAAAAGGTCACAGATTTGAATCCGGGGAGTGGGGTGAGCTCCTTCTGTTAGCCCCAGCTTCTGCCAACCTAACAGTTTGAAAGCAGGAGCCCCCGCTGGTGCAGTGGGTTGAACTCCTGTGTCGGCAGGACTGAAGACTGACAGGTCGCAGGTTCGAATCTGGGGAGAGGCGGATGAGCTCCCTCTATCAGCTCCAGCTCCTCATGCGGGGACATGAGAGAAGCCTCCCACAAGGATGATAAAAACATCAATACATCTGGGTGTCCCCTGGGCAACGTCCTTGCAGACGGCCAATTCTCTCACACCAGAAGCGACTTGCAGTTTCTCAAGTTGCTCCTGACACGACCAAAAAAAAAAAAAAAGTTCAAAAGCATGCAAATGTGAGTAGATCAATAGATACCTCTCCGGAGGGAAGGTAACGATGCTCCATGCAGTCATGCTGGCCTACATGACCTTGGAGGTGTCCACAGACAACACCGGCTCTTAGAAATGGAGATGAGCACCAACCCCGGAGTTGGAAATGACTAGACTTAATGTCAGGGGAAAAGCTTTACCTTTACCTATTTATTCAATACGTTCTTGAGTTTTAAACACCTCATAGATAAAATATATGTTTTTATTTGGAAAAAAATGCAACTTAACTTTAAACAAAGGCAACCAGTAGTGAACACAATACAGTTTTATAGACTCTTAGCTTAGTTTCAGGCTTTCAGCTTCCTTTCCCTTAGGATTGTCCAGAAGCAAACTGTTGTTGACATTTTGGCCAGATTGGCGTGTATTGCAGTAATTTCTTATGGCTTTTGGTCTTCAAGGCTCAGAACAAACTCAAATTCCTCTTCAAAAGAAAAAAGAAAACAGTGAGTTCAAGTAGGCCATTTGTTAAATATTGCTGGGTTTGGATCACTAAGGTTAACATTTCCTAGCTCTGGCTTATTTACCCACTTTGCTATACTATGGCATGCAAGGAACCAAGAGGTGCTTCATCCTCACCGTCTGTCAGGGGCTGGACAGAGAGCCTCTGTCTTGTGAAAAGAGACATTGCTTTCAAGGCTCCTCCGGAGGTTTTGTGTGCTTGGTGATGGACTTTCAGTTCAGCCAAAGGGATAAACCTCTTGGTCATGCGCACAAACTGGACATCAACCTGCAAGTTCAACAGGAAACCGAATTAATACCCAAATAGGTTGTTTGATGCTGTTATTAGGAGAAAATAGGATTTGTATACCAAGTTCTGATATTAGGACCCAAGTTCTGGTATTAGGACCTCAGTGGGTTAAACCGCTGAGCTGCTGAACTTGTTGACTGAAAATCACAGGTTTGAATCTGGGGAGCGGTGTGAGCTGCTGTTACTCCCAGCTCCTGCCAACCTAGCAGTTCAAAAACATACAAATGTGAATAGATCAATAGTTACCGCTTCTGTGGGAAGGTAACGGCGCTCCATGCAGTCATGCCAGCTACATGATCTTGGAGGTGTCTACTAGGCATGTGCGATCCATGGTTCTAAATGGTTATAAAGTATTTACAAAACTACGGGGTGCTGGTGCTTTGCTTCAGAAGTGTTTCTAAAGTTCCAATGGGGAAAATTTCAAAACTCTTAACAAAACTTTCAAAATTCGTTATAAATCGCAGTTACTAATTGGTTCTGTCATAGAAATCGCCATTAACGAAATAATAATGAAATTTTGAAAGTTTTGTTGGAGTTCCAAAATTTTTACTACCAGAACTTTAGAAACACTTTAGATGCAAAGCACCAGATTCAGAAACACTTTAGAAGCTAAGGACCAGTTTTAGAAACACTTTAGAAGCAAAACACCAGCTTTAGAAATATTTTAGAATCAAAGCACCAGCTTTAGAAACACTTTAGAAGCAAAGCACCAGTTTTAGAAACACTTTAGAAGCAAAGCACCAGTGCACCCTAGTTTTGTAAGTTTAGAACCATTAGAACCATGGATCGCACATGCCTATTGTCTACGGACAATGCTGGCTCTTTGGCTTAGAAATGGAGATGAGCACCAACCCCCAGAGTCGGACATGACTGGACTTAATGTCAGGAGAAAACCTTTAATTTACAGTAATGACAATGATACCCGATCTCATATGATCTTGGAAGTTAAATAGGGTCAGTCCTGGTTAGTACATAGACGGGAGACTATAAATGAATGCTGGGTGCTATGGTCTATATTTCAGAGGAAACAACTGGCAAAACCATCTCTGAGTATTCCTTGCTTAAGAAATGTCAAGAGGCAATGTGAAGACACATATATACAAACATTCATGCAGTTCCCGTTAGATGTCTTTCGGCTCAGATTAACAACAGAATTTGGGCAGATTAACAACAGGATTTGAGCACCACATCCCAGAGTTGGACACGAGTTGGAAACCTTTACCTTACCTTGGGCAGATAAAGCAGCATCCTCCACATTCAATATAAGGGGCTAGGGTAAAGCCATGACTTTGCTTCTCAGTGTGAGGAACAAGCTGAAAATCTGGAACAGCTCCATTTCTTTCTTTCAAATCAATGGTTCCCAACCTTTTCTTGACCAGGGACCACTCTCTAACATTAGCACCAAAAGGGTTACAAATCAGTTTTTGGTCAACATTAGATTTGGTTTGGTTATTTGGGGTGCTGAGTCAGAAAACTGCATTGGATAGACCACATCAACTCTAGTTTCTGATACAGAACATATGCCATCCAGTAGTCGCCATCTGCTCTTCCACAGAAAACCATATTTAATAAGCTTTGGTACTATAAGAGGGTTTATGGGGGACGATGCCTGGCTCGAGAGCAGTACGTGTGAAAAAGATCTTGGAGTCCTCGTGGACAGCATGAGCCAACAATGTGATGTGGCGGCAAAAAAAGCCAATGGGATTTTGGCCTGCATCAATAGGAGCCTAGTGTCTAGATCGAGGGAAGTCATGCTACCCCTCTATTCTGCTTTGGTTAGGCCACTCCTGGAATATTGTGTCCAATTCTGGGCACCTCAATTGAAGAGAGATATTGACAAGCTGGAATGTGTCCAGAGGAGGGCGACTAAAATGAGTTTTCTGACTCAGCACCCCAAGGGTCTGCAGAACAAGCCCTATGAGGAGCGGCTTAAGGAGCTGGGCATGTTTAGCCTGAAGAAGAGAAAGATGAGAGGAAATATGATAGCCATGTATAAATATGTGAGAGGAAGTCATAGGGAGGAGGGAGCGAACTTGTTTTCTGCTTCCCTGGAGACTAGGACGTGGAATAATGGCTTCAAACTACAAGAAAGGAGATTCCATCTGAACATGAGGAAGAACTTCCTGACTGTGAGAGCTGTTCAGCAGTGGAACTCTCTGCTCCGGAGTGTGGTGGAGGCTCCTTTGGAA